TTCTCATAGATTTTTTCCTAATATTTCTGCACTACTTCTCCCTACATCTCTGGACCTTTATCCTCAATTTTATTTGGCCTATCTTTACTCTTCTATTCTCCTCCCTGTTCTCTACTTTATAGGATAATTCTGGTTCTACCATTACTTGTCCTATATTACAAAACCACCCCACCGTCATATATAAGTTTCTAATCCTTACGCTAGAAGATATGTTGGATATACTAGCATGTTACCATTGGTATTAAAATATAGATCTAAGAAATAACTACCAACAGATTCACATTACACTAGGAGATAAATGAAAAACTACATTTAAAACTCAAGATGGATTATACAAGCCATTTTTAGCTATCAGATGCTCCAAATACATCAATTGAAATAATGACTCAAACTTGATTGGAAAACTTTTTGTGATATACTTTGATTCACTGGGAAAAGAGTGCCCTGCCCAAAAAAAAAGTAAAAGATTGCACAGCCAGTTGACCAAAATGAGGATTCCATATTGCATAATGATTGATAACATTTTAATTTTCATGAGTTTATTTAAAAAAACATTTTAATCTTCATGAGTTTATTTAAAAAAACATTTTAATCTTCATGAGATTTTTATGATTCCTAAGAGGCAGAATTTTTTTCAACGTTAAGAAAAAGTTGCTTTTCTTGGGATTTATTGGATCAGTGAAGGTGTTTCTGCTGATCCTGGAACAGGTAGAGCCACTATAAAATAGCCTCAACTAAAACTAATTTTATACCTTTCATGGGTTAGCCACATTTTATAGAAAATTTGTTAAAGAATTTAGTTTAAATATGGCTCTCATCACCGATTGCCTAACTAAAGGACAATATTGCAGCTTCTGAAGCCTTTCAAGATATGAAGTACAAAAGTGAGGCTCCAGTCTTAAGACACCCTGATTCTACAGAAGTCTTTTGAGATTGCTTCTGATGCTTTTGAAATAGGTATAGGAGGGATTTTAAGTCAACAAGGACACAGTTATTTGTTACTTCATCTTAAACTTAAACTGGAGAAGCTCCTTCTCTAGAGTGCTTTATGAGTTCTAATATTTATGATCTAGAGTGAGGAAAAAAGCAGGCCTCTGTTTGCAGGTTTATGGACAATTGGTTGAAAAGAAATCCTCAGATTTTTTACAACAGCCCTCCCAATTGAAATTCTACAGAAGAAGATGATGTTTTTGGTTATCCTATTGCCAAAGGCTCACAGAAAATTTTTTGATACATATATTTTTGTCCTTAACAAGAATCATGGGTGGTGATCTTTTTAATTTCAGGGCTTGAGTTAACTTTATAAATGATTATTTTTTCAGAGCTCTTCTCTGCAAAGCCTTCAGGAGCATATCTCATCCTAACAATACTTCTTTTCATATCACAAAAAAAAAAAAAAAACAATTTAGTAGTGTATTATTGCAGTCTTAGTAGATTTAAAATTTTATTCTTTTAATATCTAGTTTTCTCATTTGTATTAGCCATATTATTTCATAATCCTATCAATACAAGTATTTCTCAGTCTAATCTTATTTAAGAAAAGTTACTCAAAAGTATTATATTATAAATGCCTTTGTAATTTAACTTTTGAGATATATTTTAGTTATTGAATAAAATATTTTGAGAGTTTCTCAATTGTCTAATTGTGTTATGTAACCAAACCTTAACTGTGATGGTTAAAACTTCTTAGATGTGAGGCCTAAAAAGCTCTAATTTTATGTTTAGATTTTTATCCCCAATCCTTAAGTAGACAAATAAATTCCAGTTTGTCCTACATCATATGATAGTGAGGTTTAGTTCATCTCTTGGATATTTTGAATTGTAATTAGGCATCCATATCCATGTACATGGGTGGCACTTCCTTAGTTGTTGCTTATGATAGTAGATAATACTTCTTTTGTCATAAAAGAAAACAATATATAAATCATCGCAAAAATGGAGACATAACAAACTATTGATTAGGCTTTTCAGTGTCACCTTTCTTTGTAAGGAGGAAAAAATGTGGTTCAATCGCTTGATTTCCTTAAGATCAATTATTTCTTTACCAGCCTTTGTTTCAGAAGAGTCTGTCTCACTTTCAACATCAACTGCATTAAAAAATCAAGAAAAGTTAGAAGATCATACTAATATGAAGAAAAATAGCAAAGATTAACAATCTTAGAGCTAACCAAGTCCATAAAGTAGAGACAAGAAAAGCATATGTGATGGAGTTTATAGCAAGAGCCCACCACACAAGTGTGGTTAAATTTGGATTATAAGTCCACCAAAGGTCAAATACAGAGAGAAAGTTAATACCAACATGTTAAAGAGGAAGTGAATTAAAGAGGAAATAAATCAGAATGTTAGAGAGAAAACAAATCAGATTAAAGATATAAGAATAAAATTACATCATTTGTAATTAATTGTAATTATTTATTTATTTCTTTTCTTCATCTTGGAAAACCTGTATATATAGAACTATAATATTCAATAACCATTATACATTAATCAAATAACCATTCTTAACATGATATCAAAACATTAGATTAAGAAAACTTCAAATTCTTCAAAAAATCTTAAATTATACTTTATTGTCGAAAGACAAAAAGAAAAACCCTAAACCCATATCCAGCTTTCATAGCCAGCCTACATAAAATAAGTTGGCCTTCATTGCTGGAAAATGCCCCTGTTTCAACTAGAAAAACAGCCGCCAGCCGCATTGCCCTGTTTTGCAAACTCTATTTTGCCTTTGTTTTTTTCTCCAGATGGTGCGCTGTTTTGCCGCAAACCAACAACCAGGCAGCCAACTAGTGCGTGTCTGCCCTTTTGTTTCTTCAATAAAGCAGCTCCAATCGGCTGTTGTTTGAATCGGCCCAAATTACCCAGAAAATTTTTATATCACGTTAGGGACTATGTCTTAAGTTACTAGAGCAAATCTCAACATGTCAATTTCATATCTTAATAAATTCAGAGTGAAGATTGAAATATTAAGGGTCGACTTGAGTTCCCAGAGAAACAAATAGATACCAATTTATTGGTATGCTCAGATATGACTTCTACCACACAAAAACAAAATATCTCATATAAATCTTTTGAAAATTCTTAAATTATAAACTCAGGAACCACAAACCATATGATCAATATTTTTAAATATTTTTATACACATGCTTCATGTCCAAATGATAAAAAGATTGTCACTGCAGATAATTCCTCAAGACCATTGCAAAGAATAGCAATATTAAACTTAACCCTACTATTGTCTTAAAAAATGTATTACAAGTTCTCAAACTATGTATTATTCTTGTGTCAGTCAATAATTTATCATAATACTTGAGCTGCAAAGTAATATTTGCCTCTTCTCACTGTGATTTTCAGGACCAAAATGCAAGTAAGATAATTGGACGTGTAGAAAGTAGATACAGACTCTACTACTTAGATGTACTTGAAGGATTCTTATACGTTGTTACAATCGACCCTACACATAAGATTTCACTTCATCATAAAAAACTTGAACACTCATCATTTTTCATCTTAAATGTAATGTTTTTATCATTATTTAAGAAGTTAAAATATGAAAATTTACACTATGATATTTGTGAGTTTATAAAACATAAGCGTGTAATATTTTTCATTAGTAATAAACGAATTTAGTTTGTTTGCATTAATCCACAGTAATATTTGAGAACCATTTCACATACCTAATATTTATGAGGATTTATGATGACTGTTTTTACTCAAAATCGAATTTAATGTTAATAATATCATACTCCAATTATGCAGTATGATAAAAATCTAATTTAGCACATCTATAAATAAATTCCCTACTAACAATATCAAGAATTTTTTCAATCGCATGCTTTCATCATTCTTCCATCAAGAAGGAATTTTTCATGAATTATCTTACGTCCACACTCTACAGCAGAACTGAGTAGCAGAATGAAAGAATTATCGCCTTTTAACCACCACCAAAACTTTTTTTTTCTAAATCAACAGCCCAAAACAATATTGGAAAAGTCATACTTGCTGCCATCTACATTACTAATCGTTTGCTTACAAGTGTTCTTCGCTTCAAAAGTTCTCTTAAAATGCTTCAACAGTTGTACTCTACAGTAAGTATCACAAACCATCTATTCCTTTGAATATTTAGGTGTGTTGCTTTTTTTTCATATTCATTCTCATCAAATAGGGAAACTAGATACCCGAGTACTAAAATGTGTATTTGTGGAGTTCTCCTTCACTCAAAAGAAGTACAAATGTTACCATTCTATTTGTCTGCAGACATCACATTTATTGAATAAGAATCTTACTTTACCCAACCTAATATTCAAGAGGGAACCTATATTGGAATATATGGATACAGAATCCATAATGAACTTTAACCTATCACCATTGTCACACACATCAAAACCATCACCAAAAGAAAAAAAAAATTTAATCTACCACCATTGTTACACACTTCAAAACTATTACCACAAGAGAATGTTTAGAATCCATTAGAAAACTCACAACCACATGAAAACCTTCAAAACTCATCATTTCAAGAGTTCAGACAGAGACTAGGTTTTTTCAAGTGTATAAAAGGAGGAAGAGGTCGAGTACTTGGTCAAAGCAGGTCCAAAAATATGATCTTGATCCTAGAACTGAGTTTTTAAGTATTGAATCTTGGGACTGAGAGCCTTACTTATGAAAGCTATGTGTTGTTATCCTGCATTAAGACTGTACTAATATCTTTACCGCTGGCATCCATCTCTAGAGTAAACGGGTTCCTAAATTTAGGCAATCTTAATACAGGACTGGAAGTCATAATTAATTTTAACAATTGAAAAGCTTGGTCAGCCTCTTTACTCCACTTAAAGGCATCTTCCTTTAGCAAGTTGGTAAGAGGTTTGGCTATGATTCCATAATTTTGTATAAATTTATAACAGTATCGGTTTTAGACCCAAAAATCCTATTAGGGCTTTTAACGTTTGAGGAATTGACCAATTAATCATAGTTTCGATTTTTTGGGGGTCTGTTTTTACACCATGTCAGGAGAGTGAAATGTTCTAAATATTCCACTTCTGTTTGGAAACAAAAAAAACCCCACAACAACAACCTTTGGATTGTTTGCCATATAACTTTTTACTTCTGAGTATCTTAAGGACCTCTTCCAGCTGGTCAAGATGCTCCTGCTCAATGGTACCATAGATTAGTATGTCATCAAAGAAGACAAGAACAAACTTTCACAGGAAGCCTTTAAAAATGTGATTTAGAGCTAGAGCATTAGTAAGGCCGAAAGAGACCTTGAATTCCTAGTGACCATGTTGTATTCTGAAAGTTGTTTTATAGATATATATTTTCTTTACCGCAATTTGATGATATCCTGCTTGAAAATCAATTTTAGAGAATATAGTTGCACCATGTAATTCATCAAGTATATTATCAATAATGGGTATTGGAAACTTATCTTTTACCGTTAGAGAATTGAGTTCTCTATAATCCACATAAAACTTTCAGGTATCGTCTTTTGTAACTAGCATTTTCTATATTTGCTTCTCAATTCTGTTTTTCTAATGGAATAAATATCTGTAAAACTGGATATTCACTGTGGCATTCTCCCTAGACAATATGATGGCATGAGCAAAGGGTTTAGGGGAGGCAATCCTCAGGATTCCTCAAAGACATCCTTATATTGGTTAAGCAGTGCTCCTAATGCCTTGTTGGAGATATCTAGAGTCTGTACCTCCTTTGGAATTTCCATTACCAGGAACATGGTTTCACCCTTAATTGCTTGTTTTTGTTTGGTCTACTTCCTTACTTTAACTTCCTTTTTCTCAATGGTTGGCTCTTCCCAAGAGTCACTTCCATTTAGCAATATATGTAAATTTCCCTAATGGAATTTTATAATGGCTTGAATGAAGTCGAATATCACTGCACTAAATTGCTTTTTCCAGTCAATTCCTAGTATCACATTGTATCCACCCAATGAAATTACATGGAAACTGTGGATAAACTTTTATCCTTGCATAGTCTATGCCACTTTTGGACATTCAATCTATTGGCTACCGTCACTATCAACGGTTTATTACTTACCAAATGGTTCTTGATCCATTTGATTGCTCCCTCATCCAAAAATGACAAGGTGCTAGTGAGGTCTTCTCCATCTTCCCCCGTTCCTTTAGGAATTTTTCTTCACTAACAATGTCCTCCATTGCCATTATCATTTTGGTTGGGCAACAATGTCCTGAAAAATATTGATCAACACACTTGTAGCAAGCAATCATTGTCCTTTTAAATTCCATCTCTTTTCTTGTTACTCGAGAATTTCGTTCATAATTTCTTACTCCAAACCCTTCTAAAAATTGGACAAATTTGTTAGTGAAATATGAACTTCGAGATATTTATATTATAAATTATTCTTCGAGCAAGGCTTGTTCAAAGACTTAGTTGAGCGAGCGTGGTTTAAGCAGTCTTATTATTGGTTGCAGTTCTGGTTTGATCTCGTTAATGAAATTAGAAATAAAAAACCTTTGTGAAAGAGTGAGATTGTTAGCATTCATTAAAACGTACAAAGATTCAAAATGTTCTTGATATTATAAATGGTTCCGATTTACATCAGCTTATCAAATTCTTAAATAAAGTCTTTTCGTGAGACGCCCCCAAAATCTTCGACAATGATCCTCTATGAAAAAATCTCATTCATATTCTTCAGCTTTCGCCAACTATCTCTGATATAAAATGTTTGCCACTTCACCAAGGAAGAGTGACAACACCTCCATTTTTTGTTTCTTCAGTGTTCCATGCACCAAAAAATATTTATCGCATCTCCATATCCAAGCACGGGGATTAATACCCTCAAAAAGTAGAATTTCTACCTTGGACGGGTTGGGCAACTGACTAGAGGAGTGTGAACTGGTTCAGTTCATAGTAAAATTGGATGACCAGTTCGGTTCAAGCCCTGAATCGAGTTTGGTCAATTTATCTATTTTGCCCCCTAGACCGGTTAGACCAGTTTCAAGGTTTCTTTTATTTTCAGAACCCCACACTTTCTTTTCTTCTTTACCATGTGCGAGGGGAGTCGACAGTAGCCTTCAAGAAAAAAGGCTGAGGATGAGTAACATAAGGAAAATCTAAGCTATACTAATGTTAAGAAGCTAATGGACATGCTTATGTACACGCATAAATTATAAGAAATTGCATGACATAACTCTACAAAAGGAAATTGATATAGGTCAACATAACAGGCTTTTGAAAGATAAAAAAATTTAAAAGAAAAAGAAAAATCTAACTACAGCAGAGATTAGCAACAGTCACAATCACATGGTTGTCACAACCATAATCAAAAAGTTGTTATTTGCTAAGCACTCAATTAAATGAAAGAAAAGTAACAACTTTTATCCATAAGCAGTCTGTTTAATAATAATGAACCATTGATGTATCTATAAGATTTCTAAATAGCCTAATATGACTAAAATTCTTAAGCAGATAATAATAATAAAATTTCTAACTAACTAAGAAAGAAAATTCCTAAAAAATTAGTAAACCTATTTAATAGTTCCTAAATAAGCTAAATTGCCTTAATGATACATAAAGATTATATGTACATCAATATATCATTGTGATGAGATAAGCCCACTCTAGAATGTTCCTGCTCTGCATCATTTCTGCCACTTATATATCATCATTAGAAACATCAACTGTAAGTTATTTTAGTTGTATATGCAATAAACAACTTCAACTTTTATATCGATATTTGTGTGGTTGAGAAATTCATCAGCTATTAATGCTTTTAATGATGGACAGAGTGAATCTTTAAGTGACTTGGATGGTTTTTGGCATCCACTTAATAGCCAATATTTTAGCTTGGTCAAGAATGCGAAAAAGTTTGCTAGTTGAATGAGGATGTGCAAAATTACAACCAATGTCAATGAGCTATTGTTCAACCTTTACCAAAGGACAACATGACAATGCTAAAAGTTAATTAATTCTCTCTTCTATCAAGCCAATCAGAAGACTTAACATATATTTCATATCAATATTCATTGAAGGCATCAATCAATATTAACTAGCTTGTCAATTAGCTCCAAAAGGGAATATAAAGCACGAATTTGACCAAACTGACTTCAAAAAGTGAAAGAACCTATCCAAAAACCTAAGAATCATACTGAAACAATCTGAAGATGGCTGAACCGGTCAAGTCAAATTGGCCAATCAACTCTTTGTGAACCAATAAACGGAGAGATTTTTTACACAAAGACTCAAGCGCAGTGCCTGACACTACTTCATCTAGCAGTACTAGCTCCAGATCTAATATCGGTGGTAATTGACATCACCTGGAGCAGGATGTTCTGGAAAGGGCAGTGAAAATTAAGGGTTTGGACAATGAGTGCAGTTGATTCCACTGATCTTTAGGTGTAATTTGGTGAGATGACGACCGGTGGCTTCTGATGCTAATGGTGGTAGTGGGTGACATCCACCTCCCAGCAGTAACAGGAGATCTAGTGAAGAGAGATGGTGGGTTGTCTGCTCAAGTGATTGTCTTATCTGGTTATCTTTTTCAAGTGATTAGAGTTTTTTTAGGATTTGAGAATTGTGATATCACAATCTTAGAGATTGGCAATAACCACAAAATCACAAGGTTGTTAGGCACTCAAATTCAAAGAGTTTTTGTCCATAGATAATCTGTCTAACAGCAATGAAAATAGGATTTAGAATGACAGAAAAATAAAAGAAAATAAAAAAAGGATAAACTCAATTTTCAATCATAGAGATTGGCAACAACCACAAAATCACAATGTTGTTAGGCACTCAATTCAATGAATCTTATTCATAAAAAATCTGTTTAATAGCAATGAAACATCCATGTATTTGTAGGATGTCGAGATAGTCTAAGAAACTAGCATACTTAAATAAGAAAATAATATAAGACTTTTAATTAAGTAAGAAACAAAATTTCCTACAATGATTGTAATTACATACCCTAAAATAAGAAATAATAATAAGAGTTCCAATTAAGAAATAATTCCAAGGCCTTCTAACCAAACAATTATAAAACTCCTAAAATGATAATAAAACTATTATGATAGTTATCTAGATACCCTTACTAACATATAAAGATTATAGTTACATATTTATCCTCTAATATTAAGATATGTCCATTGTACAATATTCCTACTCTGCATCAGTAATTAAAATACATATATATATATATATATGGATTTTGTAGGATGAAAAGTAGAAGATTTTACAAGAAAGAACAGTCAAGAAGCAAGCCATCTGCATCTTCTTCTAGTTACAATGTTAGAGCTAAACTCATCTTTAATTTAAGTATGTCGGAATCCCAACTTACCAGATTGCCTAACAAGATATAACTAAGGTTATCTTATAAATGAGAGAACAAAAAGAAAAAAAAAAAAGGAAAACGTGAAAGTTAAACAGAAGTTTCATACCATGTCCAATCTTTTCCAACTTTGAGGCAGCTGTGTTGAAAGCCTTAGATACATAATAAAGAGCCCTTCCCTGGCAGGGATAAACAGTCAGTATCTGAAGAAAAAGACAAAATAAAAAAGGAAAAATGGAAATACGATGAAGAAAATATGATTACTTATCCAGTATTTAGCTATGAAGAAAAGTTGAATATAGATTATTTATGCAGCATCTGTAAACATTATCTTTTCATAATATATCTGAAATGATGTTATTGCAGACATTCATAAGAATAAACTACTGTAAGCTAATATTGTTAATCTGGAAAGCCTAAATGACGCATGGAATAGGATTCATTGAATCTTACAACTCGAGCTGCAAAGACATTGCAAAGCTGTGGTGCTTGATATATTGAACCATCTAAGACATAATATGTCAGCATTGGAGTGACTTTCTCAGGACTATCCCTCTTTTGCTTGCGGATAACAAAGAGGTGGGGCTCCATAACTTCACTAAGTGTGTATTCTATACCTGTCATCTTCCTGCAACAGAAATTATTCCACCATTCTATTGAAGGCCATATTCAAATCAAAGTATCTTAAGCAAGTAATATTCTGTGAATAACTACAATTTATGTTGTAATCTATCATCAATTCGTCACTAAAGCTTTTTGAGAAAAAATGATTGGAAGTCGACCTTCCATGGCAAAGACTAATACTTTTCGTACTAAGATTTTGCACCAACACTTTTGACAAGGAAGCAAATAATATGAACTTATATTTTGAGAGATGGGGCAAGTAAGTACTTTCATAAGTTATATTTGAGAATTCTTCCTCCCATTCCCATCTTGACGATCTTTATTTTAATAATATTAATGATGGTGACCAAAATCTACTGAAAATGAAATTCATTGAGACAGAAATTTATGACTGCCTTCGGCGTTATGATGGCGATAAAGCCTTAGGGGCATATGGTTTCAATCTCAAATTCATTCAATCTTTTTGGGATGTCATTAAACAAGATATCATAGACTTCTTTAATAATTTTCAAAATCATGCTTTGTATGATCACTAAATTCTACTTTTCTTGTTATGATTTCAAAGAAGACTAATCCGAAGAACATTAAAGACTTTTGACCTATTAGTCTTCTTTGAAATTACTATCTAAGGTTCTGACTAAAAAATTATTTACAGTTCTTCACAAGATAATTGGTGACTCACAGAAAACTTTTATTTATGATAGACAAATTTTAAATGCTATTCTTATCGCAAATTAAACAGTGGATCAGGTCATTAGGAACAACAAACAAAGTGTTTTGTGTAAACTTGATATTGAGAAAGCCTTTGATCATGTAAGTTGGGACTTCATTGATTAGAAGTTGAAAAGATGTGGTTTCAGTACAAAATGGAGATGTTGGATTAGAACATGTATCACCACTACTGTCTTTGCAATCATCGTGAATAGAGGCCCTTTTAACTTTTTCACCGCTTCGAGAGGTTTAAGGCAAGGTGACCCACTATCTCCTCTCCTTTTCATTATTGTTATAGAGGGTTTGAATAAATTACTCGATAGTGCCAAAGAACTTAAACTGCTTCAAGGGATTTCTTTGGGACACAGGAGCATTCAGATTGAACTAACACATCTATTTTTCGCGGATGACGCCCTCATTTTCTATCATCCTGACATCCGCTCACTAATTTTCTTGAAATGCACTTTATTATGTTTCCAAGCGGTCTCTAATTTAAAAATCAATTTTCACAAATCTGAATTGTTGGTGATGGGTTCTCAATCTGGTGAATCACTGACACAGATTCTAAGTTGCAAAGTTTCTCAATTACCCATCTCGTACCTTGGCAACCCCCTTGGGACCAAATATAAAGACAGAAAATGTCGAGATCCGATCGTTGATATGTTTTAAAACTGACTTGCCAACTAGAAGAGGAAATTCCTATCAAAGAGGGAAGATTAACTCTCATTAAAAACACCTTATCTAATCTCCCAATTTATCTCCTTTCAGTGTTCAGCACTCCAACTTGTGTTGTCAACACTTTGGAATCCATTCAATGCAACTTTATCTGGGGAGATGATAATAGTAACAATAGGAAAATTCACCTTATTAACTGGAAAGAAATCAAGAAACCTATTAAAGATGGTGATTTGGGCTTGAGATCTATAACTACACTTAACAAGGCCCTCATTGGGAAATGGATTCAGAGATTCTGAAACGAAGGTAATAGCCTATGAAAATCAATCATATTGTACAAATGGTTCAACGTTGACTATCATGATCAATCTAGAATTAAAAACAGCACATCTAGAAACTAACATTATCATTCTACAACACTCTAGTTGGGTTATTGGAAAGGGCAACAAAATAAGATTTTAGTCTGATATATGGCATGACAAGTCTACTCTTCAAACAAGATTCCCTCTTATTTATACTATCACCAAGTATAAAAATATTTTGGTTAAAAATATTGCAGTTCTTGACAACTATGGCTTTTTTGGCAGGTGTCAATATTCAAAAACTTACAAGATTGGGAGTTATAGGAATATTTATCCTTATTACAAACTCTATCTTCAATTCAAGTCTATGACAGAGAGGACAATTTAAAATGACTACTCTCCAAAAATGATACTTTTACTGTCAGATCTCTCTACAACTACTTGGCAGACAATCTTCATCAGAACAACATTAGCTTCCCTTCCAACATAATATGGAAATCGGGTACAATTCCAAGAATTTCATTTTTTTGCTTGGGAAGCTGCAAAAATTCGCATTCTTACCCTTGACAACCAAATCAAAATTTTTGTTCGAACAATGCCGCATATTCTAGGAAAATGTATCTGCATTACTCAGACGGAAGTAAAAACGCTCATTTCTGTTTACTTTAGGTTAGGGAATTAAACAGAGAATAGTCATTCAGACCTAAATGTGAATATGGTACGTAGTCTTACGAGAGGTGAGACGGATCGAGAGGGTGAATGGATCGCATCCTGAGCTGTTCGTTGTTGCAGGTCCAGTCGTAAAAAGGAGACAAAGCGAAGTAATCGAAGATCAAATTCCGGTCGAGAGGGTAAGTATTGAGCCATAGCTGGTCCCTGAAGCATATCCCCGTCATGTCAGTTCCCGGCTGCGGCGGCCCTGCTAAATTTCCCTCGAAATTCCCAACACCTGCCGGGGGAATAGGTGGCGCCACCGGTGGTGTCGCCATGCTGGCTTCCGGTGTCGGGAAAGCGAGGAGACTGGAAAGGATGGCAGTTAAGACTGTAAATTGTCTTTTTTTTATTTATTTTAAATGTACAGTTTTTCTATTTTTTAATAAAAAAATTAAAACTTAAAAATAGTCAAAAACAATGACTTCAACTATTTTGAGTGTTTTATATTGTAATTAAAACTATTTTTTAATTTATATATACTAAAATCTATATGAACGAATAATAATACTACAAATATAAATCATTAACTTGCATTATTAATATTCAACAAAACATAATTATTTTTATGACTTTTACTGTAAATTTTTTTACATAACTATTTTCATAAATTAAATAACAAAATAGCGTATATATGTAATATAATTGCATTAACTCTATATTTTGACAATTAGAGAACTAGTATTAATATAATAATAATAATAATAGTTAAATATTTTAATTTTTTTAAAAAAAAAAAAAATAGTTAAGAAAACTTTATTAATTGAGTAGACACCTGACATGCGGCAAGCTGTCTCAATGTGAAAGCAATGGAAGGATTGTGCAGCTCTAGCAAGTTTGTGAGCTACCTGATTACGTACACGTCTAACCCAATTTATAGTTACACCATTCATATAATTTAAGAGCTCCTTGCAGTCTTGAACGACGTAGCCGAACTCCGTATTGTCGTCTTCACGAGATTGCAAAGCAGCACAGACAGCTTGGGCGTCCATCTCCACCTATACTGTATTGTGCGCCGACAGTCCAAAACCTCCGCTAGATAAGGTGACGAGCATCCGTAGAATCCACCCGAAAGTGCTGCGGTCTCGTAGCTCGATGAGTCCCATATCACTAAACCAAAACCCCCCCCTTAGTACCGGACTCAAACACAGCCCCATCCACATTACATTTCCAAAATCCAGGTGCAAGCTTCTGCCACTCCAGTGGGGATCTATGTGGCTTCTGTGGGGTGTGTTCACAAAGATACTTTCTCATGAGATATGTGGAAGTCTGATATGCATACATTTTTCCTTGCCACATTTTAATAACTTACATTAGGTACAAAACTTATATATCAATATATATCTGTATATGATTGGGTATTTGTTTAATAGTTGCAGGCCATGTATTATCCACAAAGATTAAATACTATCAAATATTTTGCTAAATGAAAATTTGCAAGCCAAACTAATAAATTTTGGTTTGTCAAAAATTTTCTCATTTAAAAGAAGCACTCATGTCTCGATAGATATTATTGGAACTCCCGGATATTTAGAGACTGAGTAAGTACTTATGGTTTTGTTGTTACAACAAAGATTTTGATTTGCTCATGCAGTTAAAAAAAAAGTAAATTTTGTTATATTGTTATCTTACATAAATATTACATATCGAATAAGTTATCAAATACGAGCTACATGTACAACTTTATATTTGTCCAACAAAAGATAATTACAAGTCGGCTTATGATTATCAAAATGTGTAAAAATATTTATACTATTGAAGATGTAAGTTCAACATACATAAAAAGAATACTACTAATTGTCATAACTCATTACCTTCTTTTTTTGTAATTTTTTAAATATATAATATAAAAAATACTAGATAATAGATAAAATATAATATAACTATATATGTATAAATATTTTTTAATAATTTATATTTATATTTTAATTTTTATATGATATTATTGTATGTCTTAATATTTAAATTAGTCCATTACGGACGCATCTAAACATACACATTTCTTTTTCTACTTGGATGAGTTAAGAAATAAATAATTCAAATTCTTTGTTGTAATATTTGTATATAGTCATTCTGTGGGTTTTTTCAACGAATTAGAAATCAATAAATAAATGAATCAAATTGATATAATCTCTCTTATTTGTATGAATTAAACATCTTTATCCATTCTCTTAGTAATGCCTAACTATTAAGGGAGATGTTAAAAATCCTAATTCAATCACTAACGATATGAACTTTGCCACACGTATACTTGATCCCAATTATTCAATTTAGAGTGGAGAATGGATGTGACTTAATGCAATGTGCTAGGATTGAAATGGATAGACCATAGTTCCAGGTAAGTGGAAAGTGCTAACACTAAATTCTGTTAAGAATGAAAAATTTTCGGTATTGATGTTCTTGATATGGCTTGTACAAGAGGTATTAGATATATTTTAATTAAACAAGATACTCAAACTATTTTTTATTTTAACTTTCGCTTGTGTTATCCAATAAATAAAATTGGCATGTCAGCTGCTAATAAGGGACTTATCTTGCTTGTTTGTTTGTCTTTTTATCTAAATATTTTTTTATAAGCTGGAATCAAGTCATTCATGCATTTTTTTATAGAAGTAATACTAATCGTTTGATGGTTAGCCATTACTCTCTTAATTTTCTGACTCATCTACTACCACAAGATAATTATAATTTATAATTTTCACAAATGATATTGCATTTATACTAAAAATCACTTATTTTTTTGTTAAAAATAAAGTTATGTCAGATTTTTACCTTATTGTGGTTATCTCAACTAAGAAAACCTAATTGTTACATGATATTTTTTTTTATTCAAATACGTCATAACTTGTTTGGAAGAAATCTAACTTTATCATCACAATCATACTAATATATAAATGAATTAAGCTCTAAGTTTTGTTGAATAAATAATTATAAATTAATCACTATCAACTTATAATACACCCATAAAATAACAAATGGTATATTTTTAATAAAATTTGAATTCATAATATTCAAATAAAGTAAAATAATTTTAGCTATTAATTTATCGTATTAGAGATTAAAATCTCAATATTTTTAGATAACAATAATATTTGGCTTAAACAATTTTTAAAATAATATATAATTTTTTTTTGGGTGTTTTTCTATAATTTAAATTTATTTATTTTTTAATTTCAGATGACATAATTGCCTTCAATATCAACATTATAGTTGTATTTATAATTCACTGTTTTTGAGTATATAATATACGTACACTTGAGTTTTTGAAGAATATAAAAATATTGAATTTTTCAGATAAGATACATTAATGGAACATCCTAACATTTTGTTTAAATATGAAATTTTAATTATATATATATATATATACACGTCTCCGTCTGCAAGAATTTTTTTTTACAATAAAAGATATTTTGAGATATGATCCGTGTCACGAATTATATTATTGCAATATTTACTAAATAAAAAAAAATTGTTTGATTTTACTATTTAATCAAAAAATTTATTTAAAAATTATATTGAAATTAAATTACTCTAATAATATAAATTTTATGATTATCTAGTCAAGAATAGAAATATCCGACTTTAGAAAAAAAAAAAAAAATTATAGAGGAATAATACTAGTGGCTTGAGCAGTGGGTCCATTTAATTTCAGGGCCAATTGTATTAGTACGACTTTTTATCATTCAAATTGGCAAGTAGTTGACAAGACTGACCCAGTCGTTGACAGCTTGTACTTATTCCATAAAATATTATTATACTTCCAGCTGAATTCCTACCCTGGATTACGTCTAATTAAAACTTAATCATCGTTTTGGTAACATACGTAATTAAATATTAATAATTTATATTAAGCCATGACTTAATCATCAATTTACCTTACTCATACAGATGACAATACATGAATATATATATATATATATTTTGGCTATTTCTATAAAATAAAAAAAAAATTACTAAGAAAATACTCAAATTATATTATTTCAATTAATTATTTGAACTTTCAATCACAGTTGAATTTTATTTATAAAGCCAAATATTTGCATTTTAAATTAGGTAGGTACAAAATGGCGCGTTGTTGACCAAGTAATCAATTTTACCCTTCACTTGCGTCAACTGGGTTCATGCAACATCTTTTTTCAGCAATGGCCTTCTCTGAAACTTCTACTAATTTTCCTCCTTTGACTTCCAAGCCCTTAGCTCTTCAAAACAAAATTATTACAATTACAGGCGTCTGATATCTGGTTTTGGTAGAATTATTTTCATTTTTTTTTTCTCTGCCGGCTACTCATGTTGTAAGATGATACCAAATTGATCTTCTTCTACCTGGGAAACTAAAACTCTTTAATGGGGATTCGTTTATGGTTTCTGCTTGTTTCTGTTGCTGTTGTTCTCCTTCTTGTCCAGGCCCAGAATGATGATCAATCAGGTTTGCCTCTTAATTTCAATTACTCCAACTTCTTCGTCTCTTCTTCCCTCTTTAACTTTCTGGTTCTTCCTGCAGGATTCATCAGCTTGGATTGTGGGTCGCCAAAAGGTGTTAGATTCGTTGAGAATAAAACAAAGATCGTTTATACCTCCGATGAAAGCTTCATCGACACAGGCGAGATTAGAAATGTGTCAGCTGAATTGCAACCACAATTCCAGCAGCAGATGTGGAATCTCAGAAGCTTTCCTCAAGGAATCAGGAACTGTTACAGGCTGAATCTCACAAAAGGCAGCAAATACTTAATCAGGGCTAGTTTCTTATATGGAAATTATGATGGTCTAAATCAATTACCTCAATTTGATCTTTATCTGGGGCCTAATTTGTGGGGCTCTGTAGCAATACAAAATGCATCCATCCCTGTTATCAGGGAGATGATACATGTAATCTCCTCGGATCATTTACACGTTTGTCTAGTTAACACAGACATGGGTATACCTTTCATTTCAGCTTTGGAATTACGGCTGCTTAGAAATACAACTTACATCACAGAATCTGGATCGCTAGAACTTTTTACAAGATTTGATGTTGCTGGTTCTGCACTAAACCAAACAGCATTCAGGTAAAACCACTCTTCAATATATATATATATATAGATACACAAACATGCAAACAGAAGTTTAATAATCAAGAATGATCGGTTGATCATTAGGTTCAACAAAGATGCTATTGATCGTACCTGGGTGCCCTTTAGCTTCCAGGAGTGGGCCGAGATAAGGACCTCGAATCTTGTCAATATCAGAAATGATTATTTGCCACCAGAAGTGGGTATGCAAACTGCTGCGATACCTAAAAATGCTAGCAAACCTCTACTTTTGTCCTTGGAACCCAGTAATAGGACTTCTCACTTTTATGTGTACATGCACTTTGCTGAGATTCAAGTGCTTTTGCCCAATGAGACCAGGGAGTTCAACATTACTTACAATGGACAGCATTGGTTTGGACCTTTCAGTCCTCCTAACTTCACCACAACCACCATATTCAGCCCATCTGCACTGCTGCCACTAAATGGTTCTTATGAGTTTTCTATCTTCAGAACCAACAGGTCAACTCATCCTCCTCTCCTTAACGCCATTGAACTTTATTCTGTTAAGGAACTCTCACGCTTAGAAACAGACCAAACAGATGGTACGTTGCTGATATTCAATTCTTCATTCCAATTATATGAATATATACACTGATTTTCCTTCAACTTCTTCTCTATGTGTAACATAATACCAGCTGATGCCATGCTGAATATCAAGTCAGCATATGGATTGAAGGAAAACTGGGAAGGAGATCCATGTGCCCCTCAAGAATTCGTCTGGCATGGACTTAAATGCTTCTATCCTGACGGAAAGCCACCTAGAGTAACATCATTGTAAGTTTGTGCTTTCATATGATTGAAGCTCCATGTATTCTCATAAAGTTCACCATCCATTTCAATTTTAAGTCGTCGTTAACTGAAAAGCTTATTGATCACATTATCGTAGGAACTTGTCATCCCTAGGATTGAGCGGCAATATATTTTCAGACATATCAAATCTCTCTGAGTTAGCTGACCTGTAAGTATTTCAGTTCTCACAAACAAAGTATGCTGCCTTGGCAATCTGTTGCAAGAGAGTAGCTAAAATTACCTAACCTTTTTTATTTTCCAAACATCTTTCAGGGACTTATCAAACAATAACTTAACTGGAGGAGTGCCGGACTTCCTAGCAAAAATGGTTTCCTTGAAGGTCTTGTAAGTAGCTGTGGGCTAAAAAACTGACCATGTAATTTTTCACTGATGACTCAAGATTAACTAACCAACATGTTAACTATGTGCCTGCAGAAGGTTGGATAATAATAGGCTAACTGGTTCTATTCCTCCTGAACTGATTCAAAAATCAGACAACCATAACTTAACGCTAAGGTACACAGATGTTCGGTCAATTTGTTTTTCTTCTTTACTGGTCAATGGGGTTTTGAGTCTCGAACCTGTCTTGGTTGAAATAAATTATCTATCTTTTTACTGGTTTAAGTTTTTGCTTAAGTTTATCGAACCTTAACCCACCACTTGAGCTTAACACAGCAAGCAAGCACTAAAACCAAAATTCTGTGAATTCTAGTTTTGAAGGAAACCCAGGGCTCTGTGGGAAAGCTTCATGTAAGAAAAGTAACAAAGTTGTTGTACCTGTGGTGGCATCCGTTGCTTCATTTTCTGTTATAGTGATAGTAGCAGGAGTGACAATGTGGATAATTAGGAGGAAAAAACGAGGTAAGATTAGTTAACTTCGTTCACACTAATGAAGTTTGACATATATCAGAAGAAAGTTTGTTTTGATTAGTATTACTAAGAGTTTTTCAATAACAAGCCTGCCTCATTTTTTTTTTTCTGATTTCATCAGCTGGGATGGGGGAGATTGCACATAGCAGAGGACACCAATCATTGGTGCTGTCGAACAATCGCCGTTTCTCATACTCTGAAGTCTTGAAGATCACAAACAATTTTCAGAGAGTTCTCGGTAAGGGAGGATTTGGAACAGTTTATCATGGCTACTTAGATGACACACAAGTAGCTGTTAAGATGCTCTCTCCTTCTTCAGTTCAGGGCTACAAGCAGTTTCAGGCCGAGGTATTACATCTAATTAACTAATAACGCTTGGATAATTTGTTTATATCTGTGATGAACTAATTAAAACTTATATGATATGGCCTTTTATAGGTAGAGCTCCTTTTGAGAGTTCATCACAGAAATTTGACAAGCCTTGTTGGGTATTGCGATGAAGGGACCGACATGGCACTCATCTATGAGTATATGGCTAAAGGGAACTTGGATGAACATATATCAGGTTAGTAGATGTACTATAAAGCTATGCAAGCATATTCACGAATGATGTACTTGTAAATACAGTATTTCAAAAAACTTTTTTTGATCCTTTTAACTATAACGTGAATGAACGGAATATATCAATGTATTTTGAAAATTTTCTTTTCTTATATAATACAGAAAGGAGTAGAAACATAATGAGCTGGGAGAGAAGGCTGCAAGTAGTATTGGAGGCAGCACAAGGTTAATTTCATTCCTTTTTTTTCATGTCCTTTCTTTTAAAACTCATGTAATAATTGATGGAAATGCACTAACAAAAGGAAATGAAAAAACAAATTTATATATAAATATAGGATTGGAGTATTTGCACTATGGCTGCAAGCCACCCATTATCCACAGAGATGTGAAGACTACAAATATTCTGCTAAATGACAATTTGCAAGCCAAACTAGCAGATTTTGGGTTGTCAAGAACTTTCATGGTTGAAGGAGACACTCATGTCTCAACAGTTGTTGCTGGCACTCCTGGATATCTAGACCCTGAGTAAGTGCTTATGCTTGTCTTGTTAGAAAAAAGATTTTGATATGCTGGTGCAGTAAAAGAGAGAGAATTTAACATGTATCTTGTTATGTTGTGTTGTGATGCAGATATTACTTATCAAACAGGTTAACGGAGAAGAGCGATGTGTACAGCTTTGGAGTTGTTTTATTGGAGGTAATTACAGGCCGGTCGGTGATTATGAAAACACATGAAAAGATTCATATTAGTCAGTGGGTAAGTTCGATGCTAGACAATGGTGACATAAAAAAAATTGTAGATCCCAGACTTGTTGAAGATTTCGATATTAATTCTGCCTGGAAAGTGCTTGAAGTGGCAATGGCCTGTGTTTCTCCAACCTCCTTTGAAAGGCCAACCATGACTCAAGTAGTGGCGGAACTGAAAGAATGTCTGGCAGCTGAGACAGCCAGGACCAATTATGGGAGCCCAGAATCTGATTCAAAAGAGTCCATCAATTTAGTGGCTGTGAGCCTTGCCAGCCAACAGACTCCCCTGGCAAGGTAATTTTGTACAGGTTGCTTCAATGAATGTTTGTTCGTGTATATCTGTGTCTGAAGAGAATGATAACAGTGAAAGAAGCTTAACAAGCTTCTATCAGTCTGTCTGTAATTTCCATATAAACCTGTTCATATGTATCACCATATTTTTCAGTAATTTCTTACTATCATGTTCAGAATCAACTTGGAAACAAGACGATTATGAAGTTAAAACGATTAATATCTTTAGAATTTGAGTTATAACTACTAGTTTGTTAGGGAGTTATATGAATAAGTAATATGAATGATAATGAAGAAGACAAGTATCATATGAAACTCAATAATTATGTGAAATTAAGGTTTCAAATAATATTGTTGATTAATATATTTAATTAATTTATAATATAATTAAAATTTTATTATAATAATAATTTTATATAAATAAAATTTTATTAAAATAAAAAATTTTTGATCAATAGATTAATAATTTTATAAATATACTAAATAAACCAATATAAAGTGATGTGAATCAGGACACTGCAATAATTCAAGGGAAAGATAAAGAAAAGAGTAAGGCAACAAGTGCGCAGCCAATCCGCGCTAGCACCCCGGATGGACTTGGCCACATGGGCAACCAAATCCAACTGCCACCGGACCGATCACAAGGAGTCGGGCTAAACGGTTTCAAAACACCTTCAATCTTTTGGTATAAGAGTGGGTGAAGGACGAAATCACAAACGAAGCCCAAGAGAAACAAAAAAGAATATCCGGACGCCACATGCCGCGCAAGTGACCCTCCTCTGGCACACGTGCAGACGGACTCACCTGTACGTACGGGGACATTCCCTGCATGAGGCAGCATGCGGGCGTGCGGACAACACAAAGTCGCACGCCGTGACCATGCACGCAGATCTGCCCAGACACATGCGTGCCCCTGTGCATGTGCAGATCCGCACGACCACCCAGCTGCGCATGCGAGGGGCTTTTCGGGCCCCGGGCAGACACGCCAGTGCGCCTTGCGCATGCTGTTTGCGCGGCTCCTGCACGCAGACAGCCTGGCAGCCCCTCGTAGAGTCCAATTTGGACTCTTTCCATCTTTCCTTTTGTCTTCTAAATCCAGCAAAAATTTCTACTCAGATTTTGATTTATTTCCAGCATAAAAGGAGGAGAAAAGCTGCTGCAAGAAGAAGAATTCTACTTCAGAAAAATAAGTCATTTTTTAATTAAATTTATTAGTTTCCCTTGAGTTTTAGGATTAGGATTTTCATTATTTAATTAATTTTTACGACTTCTATTAGAATTATGTAATCCTATTTCCATTTGGATTCGAGAAAAAAAGCCTATATAAAGGCTTTAGATCCTAAGATGTAATCACAACTTCAAGAAATTAATAAAATTTAAATATTGACTTCAAGAAATTAATAAATTAGCTTCGCTAATTTTATGAGAGCGTCTTCAAATTCTTTAAAAGTAAGGAGTTTTTTGAAGTCTTACAAAAGCCGAAGAGTTGGGATAGACTTATCGGATAAGGTATAATGCCTTTCTTTTCTTCGTTTTAATTCCTGATTATCTTGTTTTTACATTACATCTTGGGTGGGTGTAGAAACAACTAATGAAGGTGATTTAAGTTGTTAAAGTTATCTGATCATACGTGGAGCGAGGTTTCAGGAATATTACGGTCATTCCAAGTCCCTCCCCACGTCATAAATGGTGTAAAAAGATAAAACTTATTTTTTCTCCAAAATCAACATAATATCGGAGCTAAATAAATATATTTTAAAATTTTAATTTTAAGATTTTTTTTAAATCCTAAAATAATACAATAGGCATTAATTATCTAGATCTACTCTCATTACCATCCTAGAAAGCCAAATCTGAGACAGAGAAATAGAGCAAGAAATAACTTATATCATAGCGGTGAGCGACAGTTGACAGAAGAGGGTGGTGGCTGGCAATCTGTAAGTCAACGATAAAATTCGCGACACTATAAGGAAAACACATGGATCTACATCAAACTACTAGGTGGAGGCCGTGGAAAAAGGTAAATCGGTGCGTGACTGATATCAATGCATTTGTCCGGAGAAGAAGAACTATCCACAAGGGATGGATTTGTGTGGAAGTCCTTGCACGAATATATCAGGGGGCAATGGTTGACAAAGAAGAACCATTTTCTTTAACTCTGTACGCGACAGAAAAAAAAAAAAAAAGCAAAATCTGTCTGGTGGATTACTTAAAGAAGCCCAAAAGAAGAAGAAAATACATCCATCAATCCAAGGGCATTAAGGTATATACATCTCTATCCAAGTGGAAAAGTAAGATAAATAAGAAGGGAAAGGAAACCTTCCCATAAAGGATTTCTTCTCCCAAACCTGCCAGCAATCTACTCCCTTAAAGGGAGAATCAGCTAAGGAGGGAATTTTCTTCCTAAACTACATAGGAAATCAAAAGAATGAAGAAATCAAATCTCATGCCTTAATGAGAGATTGAGTCTCATCTATTTTGGAGAGATTGTGGGAGTATTACAAACTAGTAGCTAAAGGATATTCACAACAATTTGACATGAATTACAATGAGACTTTTGCTCTAATATCAAGATAAGATACAATTAGAATTATTCTTGTTCTGACGGCACAAAGAAGATGGAAGATTTATCAACTTGATTTGAAATTCGCATTTCCCAATATATTTCTTCAAGAAGAAATTTATGTTGAACAATCCTCAAGGTTCAAGATCAAGAAAAATGAAGATATAGTTTTAAGGTTGAAAAAAGCGTTATACGGTCTTAAGTTAGCTCTGTGAGCATAGCATAGTCGAATTGATACATATTTCATTCAATAAGAGTTTAAAAAGAGTCCAAATGAGGCTACTTTGTACATAAAGTCAGAAGTATTAAATATCTTTATCCTTTCACTTTATGTGGATGATCTTATTATTGCGGGAAAAAATTCATCTATGATAAAAGTATTCAAGTAAAATATGACGAAGCAGTCAAAACAATCAACCTTCTTTATTTATAGTCGTTGACACGCTTATTTGCTGCCTTTTAAATTTGAATTCATGCTCCATGTGTCCAAATTTCTTGTAAAAACTACACTGTGAATTTTCGTTATCCCAGGAATTTCTTTCTTTATGATTTTATTTCTTACAGATTTTACAATAAGGTAATTTATTTTTCTTGTCTTCTTTTCTGCTCCCTATATTATATTGCCTCGAATTTTTGGTTTATTTGATCTTGAGCATGAAAGTTTATGCTTCGACTACAAGACACCTTATAAAGATGCTTCATGTCTTCTTGCCATCCTGTTTTCGTGAACTTGAGGAGAATCAATAAGTTCTAAAATGGTTAACATCGATAGGCCTTTTGATTCCTCTATGATAGTTACCACTATCTCAAAATTTTCTAGCAAACTGATCAACATTTTCTCCATTACTTGTTGATCAATAATGCAATCGTCATACACTTTTAGTTTATTCACAAGATTTATTATTGTAGATGAATAATCTTTGATGGTTTCTCCATATCTTATTTTTAAATTCTCAAACTCACGTTTTAATAATTGAAGCTTGAATATTCTTGCATTTTTTGTTCCTTTAAATTCATTCTTCAAGATGTCCCATACTTTTTTTTTTGCTAATGTGACTTCATTATAAATGGAAATATTGTATCTGAAATGGCAAAATGAACTTTGTCTAATACTTCAAAATTATTTTTTGGTCAATCTATGCTCACTAAAGTTAATGTATTAATATTACCCTTAACTTCTAATATACCATTTTCTAATACTTTCCATAAGCCAGATGCGAGTAAGACAACCTACATTCTAATATTTCAATATCTGTAGTTTTCTTCATCAAAAAATGAAACAACTTGTTGCTAGGTTGTGCTTGCGAAAGCTATAAATTATATTTTGTAGACATTGTACTATGGACTTCTTAATCTTTAAGGCTTTGATACCAATTGTTGTTAATATTAGAGTTAATTGTGCAAATAATAATAAAAGTAAAGAAAAAAAAAAGAGGAAGAAAGAAAATATATTTTATGTAATATAAAATATTTTTATATATCTTTAATGAATTACAAACAAATATATTTATACACGTAAAGAAAAACTTACGACCACAAATAATTTATACATTCATAAATAATTTATATTAAATTTTAGATAAATTAATAATAGTAATTATGAAAGAGTTAATGAGAAATTTCTTTATTTTCTAATAGATCCAATCTTGGCGAACATGTTGAAGTCTTGTTGAAGTTTTTTGGATCTTGCCCTGGTGATAGCATTTGGATCTTCTTTCCCAACTCTCCAAGCCCATCTACTTGGTTGATCTTGGGCTGTTCTTGGGTTTGAATCGATTTAGGAAAGAAAGTAGGACCGATTTGGCTTTCTTTTTTGGTGTTGGAGATGCGGGGATTCCAAGGGGGAAAAGGAATCCCTGTTCCCGAGGGATTGGAAATTATCGCAGGCACGGGATTTCTCATCCGTGTGATCTGTATGCGTGCGTGTGCAGGCGGCCTCCCATACTGTCCTCGTGCGCGCGGACATCCTCTCCCGTGCGCTGCTCGCGGGTGAGCTCGTGGGAACGGGCCTTTCCTGAGGTGTCCAGGTTCACATCAGAACACGTACCATCTTCTCGTATAACACAGTAGATTCACTTTCTGGTTTCGCAGAATCCCACCAGTTAGGTCCCAGATACATATCAAATTTTGGCATTTCATTGTTTTCATCATAATCTCCATGGAAAAAAGTTGCTCTAATCAAATGTAGGTTGCCTTTTCAAGTCCTACTTCGTAACAGTTTCTGATTCCTTCAGGAAAGCTTCCTCCTTGCTGAAGTGGTTTTTCAAGAATGTCTGTTGAAATTTAGGCAATACACTGCTGTTAATACCAGTGTCTGATGAATCTTGCATTTGAAATGTACAGAATGCTGGTTATTGGATCAATACTAGAACTCCGAGATCCTCACTCAGTACTAATGGACCCGAGAAAAGAAGAGAAGTAGCATATAAGAATCATATATATCGTTTGTGCAATACTAAAACTGATAGTTCAGAAGTTTAGATGTGGAAACCTGATTGATCTTGGGCATGAACTAGAATTGCAAGAAAAGCAAAGAGAAAGAACCAAATTGTCCGTGTCATATTCCAAGATTCAAGAGATGAAGGAAGCCAATATTATCTTTAGAAAAGATTAGGTGATGTAGATGTGTTATAAAGTTGTAATGTTGAATTACATATAAATATCCATTGTCATTGTAAAATGGCAAACATCATAGATGAGAGGCGGAAATGTAAATGAACCTTCACTACTGATTTATAAGTTCAAGTTGGAGTAGCCGAAAATGATGACTTGGAAAAAAAATTCAATGGCTGTTTCCTCTAAATTGAAGAGAAAATTTTGTAATCTCATACATGCATCACACAACTTTCGTGGAAAAAATACTAACAATTAATAGTAAATTAGATCTAAATCACTCGTTGTTAAAAACTTAATTTCAAATTATTGGTAACATATGAGTTAAACTTTTATATGAAATTAGATATTAATATATTTTTTTTTTATAAATAATTGAAATATTAAAAAAAAAAATACATATAAGAACATAGAGTTTGTAGTTTAGAAAATTTAATTTATTTTCTAAATTCAAAATCAAATTTGTATCTTCTTTCTAATCACTTACCCACAAAGGTTTTAATTAATAAAAAATATTATCTTTTTTAATCACAATATAATTTAATCATTATACAAAAAATAATAATAATAATAATAAATCCTCATTTGACAGTGAATCATCAATCATTCTGTGTCTGTTCATTGTGATTTCCTGAATTGAATTTGGGCAAATGGAATCTTGGAATATTGATGAAATTATATCACAGAAGTCTGCTCTCTAGGCTCTACTCACAATTTAGTCAACGCATATAACATTTTATTTTCACCAATTTCGGCCCCTCCGAGTTGACTTTAGGGACGATCAAGCAAGTGGAATTTATAGTTGCATCTGTAAATTTCTTTGTACCATGCGACGACTTGACTGAATTTGTACCTAGATATACCGTAATACAAGTTAAAAAAAATTTGTAAGTATCTTTTTCTCCCCCCAAAAGTGTGTGTCATAAAAAATATATAGTTGCATGCATTCTTCCTTCTTACCCTGCTCAACAAGAAATTCAAGAAGATGAAACAGACTTTTGCACATTTTCTCTTTGCAATAACAGCAGTACTTGTTGTTCGTGCGCAAGATCAATCAGGTTTCCAAATCTTTAACTTGTGAATACATGTACACGATGTGTGTGTGTACATATATATATCATCATATGTGTTAATATCTGATCTTTTTCTCCTGACTCCCTCAGGTTTCATTAGCATAGACTGTGGATCTGTGAACACAAGCTACATCGATGCAGTGACGAGTGTAAGGTACATTTCGGACGACGGCTTTGTTGAAGGCGGTGTTAGCAGGCGTGTGGCAGCCAAGTATCAAGATCAAAGTCTTCAACAACCACTTTGGAATCTCAGAACATTTCCTCAAGGAACCAGAAATTGCTACAAAGTAGGAATTAAAAAGGGTAACCGGTATTTGATCAGAGCAATTTTCTTTTATGGAGATTATGACGAAAAAGGTGAAGTACCAGAGTTTGATTTATATCTTGGACCTAACTTATGGGAAACAGTTCAGTTTGGTAATGAGTCAACAATTCTCTTTAAGGAGATAATACACTTTACATCATCAAATTTTATACAAATATGTTTATTGAATACTGGTTCCGGAACACCACTGATATCAGCTCTAGAGCTCAGGAAACTGGTAAATAACACCTATAAAACTCAGTCTGGGTCATTGCAAATCTTTGTAAGACTAAATACAGCTCCCAAGACAGATCAAATAATCAGGTTTGCCATGCCATTTTTTGTTTCCTCAAATTTCATTTCAAAAGAGTTTTAATGCTCTGTGATTTACTGAGTACTGACAACCTGATTTATGAATCAGATTTCCAGACGATGTTTTAGATCGGAGGTGGGTGCCCTTTCATTATGAAAAGTGGACAGGGATAAATACATCACTGGCAGTTGATTCACAAGGCAACCTCAATTACAAGCCACCGCCTATTGTCATGAGCACTGCAGCCACACCCGCCAATTCAAATGAGTCTCTGGATATTTTTCTCGACATTGGTGATCCCGCAGCTAAGTTTTATGTGTTCATGCACTTTGCTGAGCTTCAAGAACTACAGGCAAACCAGTTCAGGCAATTCAACATTTCATGGAATGGAGAGTTTTGGTTCGGGCCTGTTGTTCCTTCTTACTTAATGACAACCACAGTGTTTAGTCCTTCAAATTTAAATGGAGGAAAACATAATTTCTCAATCTACAAAACACAAAATTCTACACTTTCTCCAATCATCAATGCCCTTGAATTGTATATGGTAAAAGAATTCTCACAGTCAGAAACCGAGCAGGATGATGGTATGTCCCACCCCATTCGACTTTGTGATCACTCATTTTTTCATGACCCAAACTTCTAAAACAAGATTTACATATTCTCATTTTCTGAACTTCTAGCTGATGCGATCATGAACATTAAATCCTTGTATGGATTCAAGAGAAATTGGCAAGGAGATCCATGTGCCCCTCAAGCATATTCATGGGACGGTCTTAATTGCAGCTACAATAACAGTGATCCACCCAGAATCATATCCTTGTAAGATTTCTACATTTAAGATGTACTAATTGGGCTTGATAATAACTCTCCTATGATAAAATAACTTAGCATGCATCAGAAACTTGGCGTCTTGCGGATTGACAGGAGATATACCGGCCTACTTATCCAATCTCAATATGCTAGAAGAACTGTGAGTAAAACAATTTATTAGTATGAGTACTGAATTAAAAATAGTATCATTCTCATTCATATTATTGTATTTGAATCGCTAGGGACTTATCAAACAATAGTTTGAGTGGATCTGTGCCTGACTTCTTTTCAAAATTGCCATCCTTGAGGGTCCTGTAAGTTACTAATGATACAAGTTACAACTGATTTTTTTTTTCAAATTCTTTTGGGTGGGTGAAAGACTGAAAAACTTCTTTAATGGGGTTTTAGGAACTTAAGCATGAACATGCTGACTGGTTCGATTCCAGAAGAACTCATCAGAAAAGTAGAGGATGGTTCGCTGTCTTTAAGGTATACCTTAGAACAGTTTATCTGTTTCAGTTACCATTTTAAGGCTTTCATCAACACACACCTGGAAATTCTTTGTCCTTATAATAGGTAACAGGAAGATGAAAGATGTTAATTTCTTAAGCTGTAATTATAATTCTAAGCCTTCCAATTCGTTTCATATTCAGTGTGAATGAAAATCCGAATCTATGTTCATCAGCTTCGTGCAAGAAGAAGAGGAGCTTGGTTATTCCATTGGCAGCATCATTTGCTACATTATTTGTTCTCATAACTGCATTGGCCATCTTCTGGCCCCTTAAAAGAATGATGAATGGTATAACTCCCGCTCACATTCCACTGATTGTGCATCTTCTGTTGATTAACAGAAAACTTGGAAGAGAAAAAAATTAAGATTGTTATAATTTTATCAGGTAGGAAACTTGATTGTCACAAAAACAACAAAACAGATCTCTCCTTGGAGTCAAAGAACCTGAAATTCACATATAATGAGATTGTGAGGATCACTGATAACTTTGAAACTGTTCTTGGTGAGGGAGGTTTTGGTAAAGTTTACCTTGGCTACCTAGATAACAATGAAGTAGCTGTAAAAGTGCTATCTCTAGCTTCTCGCCAAGGCTATGAGCAGTTCGAGGCAGAGGTATGAGGAACTACTAAGTATTAATAAAATCAAAGAAAAAAGGTAACTAATTACGTACTTCCATTTACAGGTGAAAATCTTGTTAAGAGTACATCACAGAAACTTGACAGCCCTTGTTGGTTACTGCTATGAAGACACCAATATGGGACTAATTTATGAATACATGGCTAATGGCGATTTAAAGGAGCATCTTTCAGGTTTGATCCTCCATATAGGAGTTCTTTTCCTTCTTTCCATGTAACTATATTCGCATATAATCCAAGACTTTGTACTGAAACAAGTTTAGAAAGGTTTAGACTTCTTTTTCTTTTTTCAAAAATGCGTTCAGGTAAGAAAGGGAATATCTTGAGTTGGGAAGAGAGGCTCCAAATAGCTACAGAGGCTGCACAAGGTTAGCAATAAATGTTTGTTTCCTCTATATGTATATATACCTTTCCGGAAGTGAAAGTGATTTTGAAATGCAGGACTTGAATATCTACACCATGGCTGTAGGCCACCCATGGTGCACAGGGATGTGAAGTCCACAAACATTTTATTGGACGATAAGTTCCATGCAAAACTAGCTGATCTCGGGTTGTCCAGAGCTTTTCCAACCGAAAGTGATACTCATGTATTCACAGCAGTTGCTGGGACACCAGGGTATCTTGATCCTGAGTAAGTACTTGATTCAACATCCCATCATACTCATCTTACTTAAGGTGCAAACAACTATAAACAAAAAATTATGAATTTCAGCGAAGTAACCTTGGTTTGATAATACGTTAAATATTATTCCGGATGCAGATATTGTCAATCCAATTGGTTAACGGAGAAGAGTGATGTGTATAGCTTTGGGGCTGTTATGTTGGAGATAATAACAAGCCGGCCTGTGATTGCAAAAGCAGTAGGGGGTGAAAATAATCATCTGAGTAATTGGGTTCAATCTATGCTTGAGAATGGGGACATACAAAGCATTGTTGATCCCAGATTACATGGAGGTTTTGACACAAACTCAGCCTGGAAAGCAGTAGAAGTAGCCCTGGCTTGTCTGTGTCCCACTGGCAGCAGAAGGCCAGCCATGAACCATGTGGTTGTGGAGTTAAATGAATGCCTGGAAATGGAGAGAGCCAGAAAGGTTGGACATCCTAACTCAGAAAATAGAAATGATATGGTAAAGGTGAATCTCAATCTTGAATTTGCTCCCCTAGCAAGGTAACAGGAACAAGAAAACTTCCAACCCCTGTTCAATCATACCCGAAAACTTTTTCGGGCATAATTATTCAATGCAAAGAGAAAAATAAAATCTATAGTTCTTTTTCTCTAGAATATCTATTCCACAATGTGATATAATACACTATTGTCTTATTAAGGTTTTGTCATGTAACAGATATATTATTCAATAATAATGTAATATTTGTTTAAAGGACACTTAGTACCGGATAAGAAATATTCTTTTCATATATAACAATGACTTGAAACATATTTTTATTTTTGTAAACACTGTTGAGCCTTGTGAAGTTCTGAGAGGTAAGAAGAATAGATAGCAAAGTACAAAGAAAAAAGAAGGAAAAGTTGCTGGAATGATTTTAGATCGAATTTTTCAGCATACATCAACTCCTTAAATAGAAAATAAATTTAAGATAGCCAACATAAATATTAAATCAAATTTACTGATTATACATGTTCCAAAAAACATATTTCCAATACTGATTTACTGTAGATCTGTATATTTCCAACAATTTGTATTAATTTTCTGCATATTTCCAACTTGTATTAATTTGCTGCAGATTTCCAACACCTTATGTTAATTTTTCTGGAGATTTGCATCAGTCTTTATTCAAAGAAAGACTCTTTAGTTAACACTCTTCCTTGAGTTTTTCTTTGAATATACTTATCTTTGGCCTAGATATTCAAATTTGCCTCTTGAAAGTGGTTACTTGAGGCTATACAAGGTCTTCTTTAACTTATATATCATATCAGTCTTTCCTTCAATAACAAATCTCAGAGATTATTCAACGAAAATCTCCTCTTGCAGAGACCATTCAATAAAACTGATTTTACATCCAAATGATAGAGCTTCCAATTTGGCTTTGTTGCTAAGGCCACTAGTAGTTTGATGGTGTCATGCTTTGCTACAGGTGCAAAGGTATCACCATAGTCCACTCCTGATAATTGTGCATAACTCTTCACCACTAACCTTGCTTTGAATTTGAAAATGGAACCATTAGAGTTGAATTTAGTTATGTATACCCACTTGACTCCAATAACATGCCCATTTTCAGGCCCATACAAGCTGTGAAGTGTCATTTTTATTGATCATATTAATTTCCTCCTCCATGGCAAGCTGTCACTCCTTGTACTTCATAGCCTCTTTTTAATTTGTTGGTTCAATGATGGCCAAATTACACCTTTCATAATCCTCTGCCAATAACTTGGTTTTTGTGGGTGGTGTGTCTGCAATTGGATCATCAAATTTTACATAATCAAGTCGAACATTTCCAACAGGAACACTTTAGAAACTTGATGCTGCAATAGCTGCATCTTGTATGAGTTTCTTATACCACTTTTAGAATGTTGATTCATCAACAAGCACATCTCAACTCATAAAAACTTTTCCTGTCACCATATTATAAACTCTATTACCCTTGGCCTGAGCTTCGCAATTAGCTAGCATAGGCATATCAGTAACCATTCCACTCTTTTGCATAAACTTCAAGAGTCAATATTGTAATGACTAAATCTTTTATGCCACAATCAGGTTAAATCATCATAGACAACAAAAGCAGGTTGATTTGCATATCTCAAACTAATCACGTAATTATTCTCATTTTTCTTGATATTTGCTACTAACACATTTTCATGATCATAAATAAAACAGTTTTTATTTTTAAATAAAATAGAATAGTCAATCTTTTGCATTTGAGAAACGTTCAACGAATTTTTCTCTAAACTAAGAATAAAGAACACATCTGTTATGAGTTTGATACCTTACTTAGTTTAAACTAGTATTGAGCTTTTTTCTTGAACTTCCACAAGTGCCCCATTACCAAGTGTTATTTTAATTCTACAATTAACTTCCAAGTTGCTGAATAATATACGTTATTTGGCTATATGGCTTGTGCATCCACTGTTCACATAAGAGGCCTCAATTATCATGAAAAGATGACTTTCCTGCTATGTATGTTTTTCAACAAAATAGACTTGTTGCTGTTGAAATGGTTGTTTTCGTTGTTGAGTCTCATCTTTGTACTGTGATGCTTGATTATTTTTCTTCCAGCACATCTTCTCTATATTACTATATTTTTTGCAAATCTTGCATTGTACTCGCTTCAAACATTTATTCTCAAGATGGTTAAATTTACCATAACTTCCATAAGAAGAATACTTTCCTTTTCTTAATGAATCTTTTGAGCTTTGTGTCTACTTTCCTTTATTTGCTTAGGATTGACCTTGATCTTTTGAAGTTGAGGTCAAAAACTTATAACTCTGCCTTGTTTGAAAAACATTCTTAGTGATCTTATCATTTCTAATTGAAACTCTCTACTTCTGAACCTATAATTTACTGATAAGTTCAACAATAGTAAACTTTTTAAGATTATATGCTTCTTCAATTATAAAAAATTTTGATTCAAACTTCTCAGAGAGGCTGATCATTTTTTTTCAACCATTCTTTGATATTTGAATTCTCCTCCAAGTAAGCTCATTTAATTAACAAGATTTATAACTGTTGCAAAATACTATTTAATACTTTCTCCCTCCTGCATTCTCAACAGTTCAAACTCTCTTTTTAGAATCAATAATTTCACACCTCTCACTTTAGCGCTCCCTGCAAATTCTTCATTCCAATAGTCTCAACCTTTCTTGAGTGTTTTGAGAGCCACCGATCTTGTAATATGTCTTCAGACACTGCAGAATGAAGAATTGAAAGAGCTTTAAATCTCAAATATTATGCCTCAAATCTCAAAGTTTAGACGTATTCTGCTGATATCCATAAATTGTAGTGCCTCAAACTGAAAAATTAGGCACGTTATGACAGTGCACATTTATAAGAAAATTCGTGAATATGTAAGTTCTAAAACAACTTTCAATAAATATTTTATATTACATTTTTATTGAAAGTTTGAAGAATTTAAGTTATTTAAATAAAATGGTCTCTCAGCTCAAATCCAAAATACAATCAACATATTTTAATTCTTTAAATCAAAATCTTCAGTCAGTTTACACATTCCAAATTTTTCATGTGCAACTTATTTTTTAAAATTTGAAAGAAAATAACATGTGATGAGCTCATATCTAAATGAATAATAAAAAACTTAGACTAAATGAATCAATTCCGTTTGAATAGCGATATTAAAAGTTAGTTCATTATACAGCAAAAAAAAATACAACGGCAAAATAATTTCAAAACCTTTTCAATTAATATAAATGCATTAAGCCTTGACAAAGTTCAAAACAAAAACTTCACAGTGTTTAGTTGTAATAATCATATTATATCCCTATGATAAAGCCTAGAACCATATTTAATTCTTGTAGTGCAGGTGATACATATATCCCTACATTGGAGTCTATGAAGAACATTACTTATAAGTTAGTGGTGTTTTTTTTTTTCAATTTTCCAAGGATGTTTGGGTTTTAAAACTTGTGCCAAAATCACTTTCGATAGAATTGCTTTTATTCTGCAATTTTCTTGCCTCGTGTGACTCTAAAAATCTCGTTAATTGTTGAATTGTAAGTATAAACAAGTCTCTTGATTTTTCAATTGCTGTGATAATATACTTTTACGCTTCAGACAAACTAATTAAAATGCTTTCAACTATTTTGATAAGTGATATCTTCACCAAAGTTCCGTATTTGGTTCACGATCTCGATCACTTTCGAGAAATTCTCATTTTATTTCTTAGACTCTTTTATTTGCAAATTTTGAAATTAACTTTGTAATGTCTGCGTCTTCACAGTAATTACCTTTACGGATCTCTAAAACTCTTTTTTGCAATATATTTCATACTTCTTTTGATTTAGTTGCACCAATTATTCAAAAAAACAAACTTTCTGTAACACCCTGCTATATGAGAAACAGGGTTCTGGCATCTTTCATTTAATCTTCCACAAACCTCTTTGTTTCCAGTAGCGTTAGCTGTTGTCCAGCAACAAATTGAGAACAATTATTTTCAACTATATTCTACAATAGTAGCAACGTTCGTATCTTGATCTTCAACACATCAAATATAATAACTAAGATCCTATTATTACCGATAAGTGCATATCTTGTAGAAGGCTATGTATTCTTAGGTACTTATAGAATAGTCATAGAATAGTTATACATATCATTAATAGAATTGGACTTCTTATTCGTGGATATATTGTAGTTACTAAGTTTTAAATTCTAGCATTTTCCCTGATAGGAAATTTTTTTCCTTCATTTTCTTCCTCTGTTTCTCTGCTTGCGATGTTCTAAAATTTCCTTGTTTCCCCTGTTTTCTGTATTTTCCAAGTGACAACAGTTTGTTTCGGCAAGAAAAGTTGTGACGACTAATTCAAATTGGAGCTAGAAAAATTTTCTTTTTTCCTAGTAAACAGAGTTTTTCTTTTCTTTTATATATAAGTTAAAGGCAAAAAACAATAAGAAAAGAGGCCATCATGACATCAGAAAGCTGCTGTTTTTGAGAGTTAAGAAGTAGACATCAGTTGAACTTCATTTAAATGTCTAACGTTGACATAGTCTCTTTAAAATGTATTCAATGGACACAGTCCTCAACAGAATTCTTACCATCTATTAAACAATTCTTCTTCTCTTCCCTTAGTATACTTGTAAAAGAAATCTCACTTCTTATTACATATATATAGATATATATACAATATATATGTATATATACGATCAACTGACCAGGTGAATGTTAGAATTTGATTTCTCTTCTAGTTTTCCTTTTGACTTTTGAAGTTCCGGTGCTTTCAGGGGTAACATTTTTCATAAAGAAAACTAAAATTATTAAATGAAGCCTTCTTTCTCAGACATCATGCCATCCAATGGATTATGTTATCACTTAAGTATTTAAGCATACAATCATAATCATTTGACGAATCAAAATACAAATATTAGCCAACTGCAAAAGGATTAAGATATCAACAAATTATTTATTTATTTCTCAGTAGCATACCAATTCAATTTGCAACCACTTTAAAATTTCAATGTGCAGACTAGAAGTGGTGTGATGAAAATAATGGAGATGGTTAGATTCTTCTTGCTTTCAGTGCATTGTGCTTTTGCTCTCACACTTTTGGTTATTGCCCAGGATCAATCAGGTTCGATAGTGTTTGATGCTTTTGAGTTTTTTAGGTCACAAATACATACCATACTTTTTACCTATAGCTATATATATGTTGGACTTGGGAGGTTATACCTTAAACTCTCATATCAGTCGTATTCCGCCTAATTATTACTGTTTTTTCAGGTTTTATTAGCATTGATTGTGGATTACCAAATGGTTCCACCTATAAAGATGAGAAAACTGGCATCAATTATATCTCAGATGCAGACTTTATTGAGACTGGAAAAATCAAGGAGATATCATCTAAATTCAAGACTGATACGCTCGAGAAAAGGTACTTGAAGGTTCGAAGCTTTCCTGATGGGATGAAAAACTGTTACACACTTAAACCCAAGCAAGCAAACGGCAATAACTATCTGATTCGAGCGGGCTTCATGTATGGAGATTATGATGGAAAAGCATCAGTGCCAGAATTTGAGTTATTTCTCGGTATCAACTTCTGGGAATCAGTGAAACCGGATGATGCATCTACTCCAATCATTACAGAGATGATACATGTTCCCTCCTCAGATCAAATAGATGTCTGTTTGGTGAACACAGAATTTGGAACACCCTTCATCTCATTTTTAGAGCTAAGGCTTTTGAGCAATGATATTTACAGGATAGAATCTGGTTCACTCAAACTCTATACCAGGGTGAATTGTGATTTGACTGCTACTAAAGCAGTGAGGTAAGATAGTTTCTGTCTCATGTTTTTGTCAGAGAATTGTGTTAATCTCTTACAAATTTTTGCATTGAATCAGGTTCCCAGATGATGTTTATGATCGAGTTTGGCTACCTTCTAATGTCTCAGGGGCATATGTAGGAACAGTCATTTCCCCTTCTGATGAATCATCTCGATCCTACTCTCTTGATGGTTTGGTGTCATTGAGTACGTCCCAGAAAGTCAACTCTCTAGATAACAGTATGTATAAACCACCATCAACTGTCATGCAGACTGCCATCACAAATGTAAACAACAAGTCTTTCCTGGTGGCGAATTGGGTTCGTGACGATCCCTCTTCTAAATTTTATGCATATTTTCACTTTGCTGAGATTGAAGAGCTGCAAGGAAACCAGTCAAGAGAATTCAACATATATGTAAATGGAATATTAACATATGGATCAGTTATCCTCACACATCTTGAAACAAAAACATTTAACTTCTCAGCCATGAAAGGAAGATGGTTTGATGTTTTTATGAATGAGTCAGGATCTTCAACACTTCCGCCATTGATTAATGCCTTTGAGGTATACCTGGCAGATGAACTGTTGCAATCACCCACAAATGCAGAAGATGGCAAGTGGCTTTATTTCTTTAATTACAAAGTAGTTAATCAGGTTGATTTCTTTTCTGATTTTCTGCTTCATTTGTGCTTTTTTTCAGTGAAGGCTCTCATGACCATAAAGTCAACATATAAATTGAAGAGAATTTGGCACGGAGATCCATGTTTGCCGGATTACTCTTGGTGGCAAGGTGTTAATTGCAGCTACCATGAAAACGACCCCCCTAGGATCATTTACTTGTAAGTTGATTCACTTACTACGCCATTCTGATTTTTCATTGTAACTTCAGCTTTCTCAACACATTTTCTTGTAAAACAAACAGGGATCTATCCTCTAGTGGATTGATCGGGTCAATTGCTTCTTCCTTAGCAAATCTCAGAATGTTACAATATTTGTAAGTATCTCAAACTCACAACTAAAAATTTCAAGAATTCTCATCGCCTTTGGATAACACTAACATAGTAGTTTTGTAATCTCAGAGACTTATCAAACAATAGTTTGACTGGGACAGTGCCTGAATTCCTAGACCAATTGCCATACTTGAGGTTCTTGTAAGTTATAAGTGCATTCCTGAAACCATTTTTCCGGATAGTCTTCATCAGAAAATCTCAACTTCCTTTTTCCATTTCAGAAATTTGGAAAGAAACGAGTTGTCTGGTAAAGTTCCATCTCATCTCATTGAAAGAATGAATGATAAGAACCTCACACTAAGGTCAGTCTCACTAAATGTTTTTTTAGCCTTTTCTTTATTTACATAGTTCCAGTAGCACTATATTGTTTCTCGAGTGTTGAAATTCCACATCAACCAAATGAGAATTTATACTGATATACTTGTTAGCCAACTCTTTCCAAAACTATATTGATATGGTGCTGGATAAAAATTTAACATTGTAGCGGAGTTAGTTTTTGTCTCATAGCTTGGTTACCTTCCATGTGAGAAATCTGTAGTGATCACTCACAGCCTCCGCGTGATGGTTTTGGATTTGTACTACTATATATATACCTGTTGAAAATTTCTTCCTAACATCATATGGTTTTGACTAAGGTGTTAAACTTTTATTTGTGTGATGCAAGGTTGAAGGGAAATCCAGATATTTGTAAATCCGAATCATGTAAAAAGAAGAATAAGGTTGTCGTTCTGGTGGTAGTATCAATTAGTGCCGTTGTTTTCATCCTGTTGGTCTTACTTGTTTGTTGGAGAATCCTTAAAAGGAGAAATCAAGGTACAACAACTATATAATCTCGATTTTTCCATTAAAGAAAAAAAAAAGGCAAGAAGAAAATAGGAATAATGCAGTTGTTTTTCAAATCCAGTTATGAGTAGGATCAAGAAAGTGAGTAGCTTAAACAGCAAAACAGACGGAGAATTAGAGTCGAGGGGACGAGAATTTACATATGCTAAAGTGGTTAACATTACCCGCAACTTTGAGAAAGTTATTGGCAAGGGAGTATTTGGAATCGTTTATCATGGTCAATGTAATGATTTTCAAGTAGCTGTGAAGATGCTTACTCCATCATCAATTCAAGGCGGGTATAAGTACTTCCGAGATGAGGTAGTAATTATGCTTTTAGTAATAAATAGTTTTATTCAAGAAAAAAAATTGATTAATGCTCTTGGAGCAAAAATGAATTGACAGACTTACAGCCGACATACTTTGAATCTCATTTTTGTAGCTTTTTCACTAAGATTTGAAATGAACCAATCATATTTATAAGATCTAATAACCGGATCATATTATATTCAATCTTAGTTCAGTACCAATATACGTACATGTTGTAATTTAATCAACAATTTACAGGCCAGACAACTTTTGAGGATCCGTCATGTAAACTTGGTGCCTCTTTTTGCCTATTGCAACCATGAGCTCAATTTTGGACTCATCTATGAATACATACCTAATGGAAGCTTGGAAATGCATTTGTCAGGTACCTGAAACAGCTTGATGATGATCACCAAATCCAAATTTTGGGTGTGATTCTTAGTTATTGCTAATACATGTAGTTAAAAACACTCGCACATATATATGTAAGATCTTTATACTAAAGCAAACAGATAAAATTCAGTAATTATGTTCAACTTGTGCAGATAACACTGCACATTGTCTAAGTTGGGAAGACAGACTTCGAATAGCAGCCGATGTAGCACAAGGTATAAATTTAGTATGATCATCTTGTTATCTTTTATCCTGTCTGATAAATTAGTAACCTAAATGTGAATTTCAGGAGTGGAGTATCTGCATAATTCTTGTCAGCCTCCAATTATCCATGGCTATGTGAAGTCCTCAAATATCTTATTGGATTATAATTTCCTAGCCAAGCTATCAGATTTTGGATTAACCAGAATTTTACCCATTGAAAATGGCATTCATGAAGGCTATCTAGATCCTGAGTAAGTAATTAACAATTCCAGTTTGTCCTCAGCTTTAAAATTTGCGAATAAAGATGAAACAAACTCAACGTTAATGAAAACACGAACAATTGATTAGAATATCAATGTGATTTGTGGTATATATCTGTGCAGATTCAGTAATACATTCAGGTTGACTGAAAGAAGTGATGTGTTCAGCTTTGGTGTCGTATTGCTAGAGATAATCACAAGCATGCCAGCGATCACTCGTAATTGTGGTGAGAAAATTCACTTGACTCAATGGGTTAGTTTGAAGCTTGAGAAAAATGAAATGGATGAGATTGTTAATCCCAGATTAAGGGAAGAATATGACAAAACTTGCATGAAAAAAGCTTTAGAATTGGCAATGTCTTGCGTGTCTCCAATTTCTACCAAAAGACCAAACATGGCTCGTGTGGTGAAAGAGCTAAAACAGTGCTTGCAAATAGAGATTGCTCGCAACAATTACAGCCGTCAAAGCACAACACAACTCGAAATGACTCCAAGGTAATCAGCTTTTGGAGTTTCTTAATTGTGGCAGCTGTTAGTTATAGCTATGGACATTCCTGTTTTTCTAGTTGGCTACCTCAAGTTTCCTGTACAGAGCTTAGAAGTAAATTTTAATGAAAAGATCAAATTCAAACAGGGTGTGGTAATCACTCTTTTAAGAAGCAATTCTCTGAGTATCCTTCACTTCATTTTAACTGTCAAATTACTATACTTATCTGTAACACTATAATTTTGTAAGTTATACACCTCCCAACTCCATGCATGATTAAAAGCTCCATAGGCTTAAACAATTATTATATTGAACTAACAATTAGAAACAAGCCAAATTCAAAGCTGAGCATTTACAAAAAAGTTGTATAAACGTGAAAGACTTCAAATAAATATCAAACCAAGCCAAAAGTATGTTTTAATTATTACAAATACTATTTTGCAAATGATAGTTGTAACTTAAAGCTAAAAGAATAAGATTCTTTAAATCCAAATAGCTTTAAATCTCTAAATCATACTTCTTCAATCACTCATAACCCTCAATGCTTTATGTGTGTGTGTGTGTGTGTATATATATATATATAGAATAATATTATCTACATATAAATTTAAAATTAAAACTAAATGAGGATAATACAAATGTGAGAATTGTGGAGTCAAGAGAATGACATATGGGTTTTGGCAATTAAAAATAAAGAGCTGTCACGCCAATAATACACAACCGTTTTGGCAAAGTCAATTGTACCCACTTGTGAATCCTTACAAAAATTTTCAATGCTTTCTTTGTCTATACACGCAAATTGCTTATCATCATCCCCATTAACTGGTTGTATATATATATATATATATATATATATATATATATATCAAAAGAGAAGACTAGAAATTCAACTTGAATGATAAAATTTGCATAAAAACAAAAAAAAAAAAAAAAAAAACCCAAGCGAGAGATCTGCCTTCCTTTCCCAACAGAATGTCTATAATTAGAATATGGTTCCTTTTTCCATCCCAACCAAAAACACCCATCAATCCTCAAAATATATGATAATATTTTAAATTAAGTTGTATATACCCAGATCATCAAGTTCTAAAATTTGTGAGTGCATACACATGATATTATCAATATCATCATATAGCCTGGAGGATCCTGGGGATTATAATTAATTAAACAGAGAAAAACAGAATTAGGGAATATAGGAATTATAAATATCTAATTTTTTTTAAAAAAAAAAAGGCATCTGTCAAAAAAGAAGCATAAAACATGTGCTGAGCAATGAAATTGGGGGGGGGGGGGGGGGGTGACTTCCAAGAGCACGCTTTGGATTGAATCAAGGAGACAAGAAATTAACTGCACTCATCTTGAACAGAATGTCTCTTAGCTTGCTGCTGCATTGGTTATCTAACAAATTAAAACTACAAAAGTACATTTGGGGAAATCCACCATATTCTCCTCCTTTTTAACTACAATATTAATATATATTAAACAAAACTAAAGTGATCATCATCATCATCATAATCACTTTCTAGCCCCTTGATCTTAATCATACATGCTATAATTGCTAAACCTTTTCATCAGGAAAAAGGCTCTGCACATGTATGTTATAAGCCTACATTTATATATAAATATATATGTATATTAACTTTTAAATTTGGGCTCTTTGGAAGTTGGTGGACTTGGCAGTCGTAATTAGGAAACTATGATTAGTGAACAGTTTTGTTTTTTGTTTTTTTTTTTTAATTTGATCTGGGTGATCAGAGGTGATGATGCATGGTGATGATTGATTAGTACTTTTTTGGTTGCACGGTAATCATTAGATGATGAACAAAGGATTTAGTTTTAGAAATTAAGAAAATTAAAACAAAGAAAAGGGTGTTTCTGGATTAGAATTTATTTTCAAATTTGTGTGGGGTAGTGCTGGATATGATAATTAAGGTTTTGTAAATTTGATTGCACGGGAAATGAGTGAGCAGTTAATGGGAAAACTAGAGATGATGAATTAGAGGCGAAAGCAAGAGTAGTTGTTAATGGTGTTGCAGAGTCAGGTCTGTGGCTCAGGTTTTCTAGTGCTTTGACTTGTGATCTAAGGAACTTGAGATAATTTGCAGCTTCATCAAGCATTGATGCTGTGTCCATCTTGATCCCACCAGGAACCAGCCTCTGCAAAACCCTAATTCTCTCACTTATCCTCTCCCTCCTTTGTCTGGCAGCTACAGTTTGCGGGTCAGTTGATATCCTCACATTCTTCCTCCTTGGCTTCTCCACCATCTCCAACCCAAGATTCACTGGCCTGAAGGCAGCTGCTCTGTAAATCATCTCTTTCATCTGAGCAATCGCCTCAGCATCAGCCTCTTCCATGCACGACGATACCGACGATGAGCTTGGCTGTAACTGAAAACTGATGTTTGATGACTGCTTATCTGATCTGGGTTTTTTACATTTCTGTGGATTCTCAGAGATTAGCATGAATCCACCACCTTCTGTTGTACAAGAATCAGTTTGGACAAGATTCAAATGCCCATAATTTTGAAGATCACCATCTGCTTTTACCTTGCTTCTTCTCTTTTTCATATGATTAACTTGATGGTCTGATGAAGTTTGAAAAGCTGTTTCATTGACCTGATCGTTCAGACCACATTTGTTTTCTTCGTATTTTCCAGGGTTATTCCCAGATTCTCCAGATGAGGCTGCAGTGGGGAAGTTCCATAAGTTTCTGCAATCGGAGAAAATCATGGAAATCCCATCATCTTCAACTGATGCGTCTGTGTTGCTGTTAGTTGCTGATATCAAGCAATCCAGTGACTCCAGGGAAGCAGCGGGACATAATTCTGATGTTAACCCATCTCCCCAGCTTGATGATTTTGCAGCTTGCATGATATTTTGTGCCAAGTTTGAGGAGGCTTCATAATGACACTGCAATAAGTTCATGTTTGAGACAACATGTGATTGTTCATGACTTGCTGTTTGATGATGATCATGAGAAACAGAATTTGTCAAGACATGGTCTGTGAGATCCATCTTGGCACCATAGATGCAGGAGTTGGAGTTGGACATGAGTAAACTTTCTTCCATTTCACCAGGGTTACCGCTCCATAAGGATGATGATGTGTTGGTGACAACTTCTGCACTATCCCACCCAAATCCAATATCCATTCCTATCATCCAAAACCATTAACAATATATATGTATAGACATGTAACATATTTATGGTTTAGCAAGCAGAGCATAGAAAAGATGAAAGATGAATAATTTAATAGGAGAGGGAAGGGGCATACCAAATATCCCAGATCCAGTAGGTCACCCAAATGCAGAAGGAGCCAATGGAAGGTTGTTCAGTCTCTTAAATGCTAATAATAGAATCCAATATGATTATATATGTATGTATAGGCTCCTGTACAATCTGGTACTGCTGCCACTATATGATAACCACCCTCTTCAATTCTCTATATCATGAAAACTGTGATCTCAACAACACAACAAATAATTGCTAACGTCAGTTTTGGCCACTGCAGTTAATTCTAATCTGTACCCACCAAAAGTAAAGAGAGAGAAAGAGCTTCTCCAAAACAAATTAACATGTATAAAGCTTTAAGAGGAAAGAAGAGAGAGTTTCCTTGTACTTATACCTTGAGCTGCTATGAAGATGAGTAGTACTAGTAGTAGTATTAATTGGTACAGTGTTATATATATATATATATGTATAAATATACAGATGGGAAGAAACAAAAGGGTGGAATTTTCTAATATATTGGAATATTAAAATACATAAGAGTAGGAGTAGGGAATAATGGGGTTTGAAAAAGATAAAGCTTTTTGGTCAGTTTGGTGGGGGTGTAAGAGTATATTTTCTGCAGATGGGGAGCATGAGAATTCAGAGAAGCGTTTTGAATCTTAATTTATTAAGAGTTTTTTTTTTTTTTATCATTTGTTTATATATATATATATATATATATATATTTATATATACATGTGTGTTGGTCTGGGTGGGGAAAGGGTCTGACCTCCTTTTGGTTCCTCATGCGCACTGTGAAAGTTCTCAGTAAAAACTGCAGTTGAAAGTGAGCATCTTTTAGTCCACTACTCTCTTTCTAAAAGTTTTCCATTAATCATAGTTTTAATGATGGTGATCAATAAGCAGTATTACTGTTTTTCACATTAGTTAATTAATCCGATACACTTTTAACACTTCTTTTACCAGTACTCATACAAGATACATGCAAATTAATGATGATATAATACTACAGTAAAAATACTTACAGACAATAAATATAAATGATAATTGGTAATTAGCTAGAATAGTAGATATTTATATATGTATCATAAATCACAATAGTTTTCATCTGTATGAGAAAATCTGAATCAAACTCAAAGTTTAATTATATATGTAGTATTATTATTGGTCAACCTCCAAATTCCCATTTACAGTGGAAACAATTTCAGTTTGTTTGTTTCCTAAAAGAAAAATCAATCTTTTGTGAAGACAACAAATATATAGCTAAACAGGACTACATGCAATTATTGTACTCCCAAAATATCATATGCTATAGGAAGTGATATCATTTAATAATCATCTTGTAATTATAGATAACGTTATAGTTTGTGCAAGTTTGTGATGGTAACGTATACCCCTGTATGGGGATAATTTATTTAAGTTTGTATGTAACATATATATATACACAATATATAAAAGTATCAGTGTTGAATTTCTTGGTTAACAGCCGTGCGTAATATAGGGCTCAGCTGGAGTTATTAACTCTTTAACAAGAGAATTATATTATATTGTTTAAATTAAATATTTTTGGACAAGACCCTTTTTATTTAAGATGAATAAGAGAGCATGCAGGAGTAAGAAGAGAAAATAGAAGATGGAGAAGATAACACGAACATGTCGCTAATACAATTTTGTCTCTTCTCTGGTTTTTTCTAATCTTAACTTCATTAATTAATATATTTTAAAAGGAGAGAGAGTAGATGATTCTGAGTCCTCCCCACATGCAACCCATCATTACAGCTCAGTGAATGGGTTGCCACAGCATTTGCTTTCTTCTCAAACTCTCATCTACCACCATCTTTAACACCTTCTAATGCATGCGTACGTACACACACTCTTCTCATCAGGTATATACACACATATAATTTGTAATACATGTTATTAGAAATGGAAGGAAATAAATTTAGGCAGAATACTCACTTGAGCCGAGAGCATTGTGATAATGAAAGAGAAAGGGGAGCAATCGTTTCTTCGATATCTTCAGCGTTCAAATATTTTGCTTCTGCCTGAAACTTTTATCATTCACCAGTTTTTTAGTAGAAATTATATATTTTCTCTCATTTATTTTTGCCTGTTACAGTGTGTGTGTGTGTGTGTGTATACATATATATAGAGACAGGTATATTTCCCAGAATTTGCTTGTCATTTATTATCTATATTTATTGTGATTCCTATCTATCACATCAAGTGGGGATGGTGGTAAGCCACTGAAATTGAAATCAATGTCCTTTTGATTTCTAGTCTCTTCATTCTTGTTGCATGCACGTGATATGAAACTAAATTAAGAGTCTTAAATTTTTGTATTTCGAAAATTAATTGAACTTGTATATACACTAATGATCTTTCTTTTCTTTTCTTTTTACCTTTCACTAAAGAATCAATACATTCACCAATTATAATATACATATTCATATATATATATACATGTATATACGAATTATAACAATATAAATAACCTTCAAATAAAGATATACATAAAATAAATTAATTGGAACTTATGCATCATGTAAAAAAAAATGCATTAACTATTAAATTGAGTAGTAGCTGAATTATTAATTCAAACAATTAATTATTTTAAATTATCTAAAATATTTTTTGATTAAATTATTGATATTTAACCGTATTTCTATAAGTGTAAGAGTTCTAATCGAACTGTATATTTTATGTTTATCCTTCTTAAAATATAATTATGTTATTTATTTATTGTTATTAGTATGAATTTATCATTTAAATATCAAAATATATAAATTTTAAAAAAAATAATTAGCTTAAATTATAACCACATAAACAACAAACGATATATTGGTTTAGGAATATTTGATATTTACCAACTAGTAATCTTTAATATGATCAAGACTTGCTTTATATTAATGAACAAGACCAAGATATACTAATTGAGATGCGGAGATGTGAAATATTTAATTATTAACTAAGAAAATTATGAAAAAATATATGACCAGTTAGGAGAATGGAACTATATTTTCAGAAACAATTTATTCTTTTTGAAAACTATATCTGTCCGAACAAGATACATGACTTTTTACTGTTTTACAAAATCTTTAATATTAGTTATTTCTACTATTTTTTTAAATTTGTATAATATTTAGTACAATTACATTTTTTTTAAAAGTTAAAATCTATTTAATAAGACATGAGAAAAATATCTCGTAAAATAAATAGAACAAAAATGGCATAAGATTCCAAAGTATAATAGCATTTATTCAGGTTGCTAAGAAATTGTTTTGTAAATGCATGAGAGCCACCTTTATTACAATCCCGAAAAATTCATGTAACAGAAAAATATAAATAGTATAAAACAAAATTAGCAACAAGTAAACTTAGTTTTAAAGTAAGTAATGTAGGTGACTTGAGAACATGAATTGTTCACTGAAAGTCATTTTGCCTACAAGTCGCATACGTAAGATCAAAATGTATTTCTACATTGATTCTGTTATACCAAGAGTTGGAATATGTCATATACCTATAAAATCAACTTCATCAAAAGTATTTTAACACATAGTTCCTTAATACGTTCATTCATCTCTCCTAAAAAATCCATCATGATTCGTTTTGATCATATTAGGTAGCAGTAGCATCTAATGGGATAATACCATCGTCTCATTTGATTTTGATCGTGTATTAAGAGAATCAATTTATCTCGTTATATTAAGCTGAGTAATGTGTTTGTTTAAAAAAAAAAAATTTCACCATTATTTTTGTGGTTTCTTATCAAATAAATTAAAGTTTGAAAGCATAATAAATATATAAAAATATGTAAAAATAGTTGTATATTTTTAGAATAATTAAAATATTAAAAGATAATATTTTAAAATATTCTAGTTTCATCATGGTATTAGATTTTTTTTTATTATTATTAACAAAATTACGAATTTTACGAATAAAATGCACATAAATTAATGACACCATTTTACGTCCAAAATACAATCTTAAATTTTCTATTTTTAAAAAGGAGTAACTTGAAGGATTAAAAAAAAGGCAGCAATCTGAGCCGTTGGATAAAGTATAATATATCAAATTCAAACAATTTGGTGGGACCCAACTATTTCTCCCTGATCAACGGTGATAAACAAAGTGGTCCATGAATCTCTATAGAATGTCAAAGTCTCAATTAATGGCCTCCCGCGTCATTTCTGCAAGATTTCGTAGACCGTTATTGGAGCCAACGTCGGCTCAAATGACTCGTCTCATGCATCGGCTCGGCTTCCGTGGGACCCGCACCCCGCTCCTACCTTAATCCTCTCTGTCCTGTATTATGCAGGATGACACGTGAACCCGATGCTTATTTCACACGTGTCACGTTATGATTGGGAGAGCTGGTTGAAGGGATAGCCGTTTCCCACATGGACGAAATCAAGGTGGTGTGGAGGTGTGAATTGGGACCATCTGATCTTAACTGCGTTCCTCGTCTTAAATTCATTATTATGGAACAGGTTCATTAGCCTCTGACTTTGATTTTTTCTTCTTTAATTTTGTCCATGTCCATTTTCTTTTTCTCTATTTGTTTTGGTAGGTAAGAAGTATTATTTATTTATTATATATGTAAAGCTTGCTGATGTAATATCTCAAGAGTAGTAGTAGAGTTTTTAAATTCTTGGCTTGCAAAATTTTTATTAATAGTTGTGAAGGATTGAGTAGTAAGGTTCTCGCAAGTTCTACAATTAGGGCTAGATTACAACAATGCAAGTGCCTAAAACTAAAACTTCTTAACTAGTTTTAAAGAGTTAAAAGAGACCAACTTACGATATTATAACCAAAGATTTGATTATTTAACTTACTTTACGAAATATTCCATATTGTTTGAGTAAGTTTTTTTAGCATGATGTTAGGAAGAGAGAAAATAGACATGACGTTGGCAGATTGGGTTGTTAGAGCCTTTTACACCACAAAGCCTCTTCGTATATAAGGAAAAAAAAAATGTGTTTCTATGTCTGTAGTTCGACTTTAAGTCGTTCAATTAGGTATTGAAAAGGGCGAGTTAATTTTCCATTAACTAGCATTGGTAACCCAAAATGTTTAGTATTAGATTTGAGTTTCGTGAGCTTACACGTTCCACCTATCATGATGGACTAATAGGCTTAACAAAGTAATTACCTTTTCATGCATGATATCCATATGGGCCAATTAAGTGGCCTCATTGCTAATGAATCATTTATACAAGTTATTAAAGAAAAGAACTACATCCCTCAAAGATAAGCACAAGGATCAATCTAATTTAATCACAAATGTTAGAATTTTATAGTCATATAAACAAATCTTAAAATTAAGTTTCAATTTATGTCACAACCATAATGTCCTTCCAAGAGTTTTACGAATATTTTTATCGTATTAGAACTATTTCACAAATTTAAAGAATAACTCACAATTAAAGTCAAATATTTTTTCTCTCAATTAAAGTTTGATATTATTAGATTATCATGTCCAATCATACTTTTCTTTGGTTGGATTTGAATAATATCATTAATGGTTTCAAACACTAAAATCAATGCGGACTTGATTTTATTTATTTAGCTAGAAATTTCTTTCTAAGTAATCTCACTCTCGACATTTTTTTCATCGTCCTCAATCACATACGAAATACTCTCTCTTACTTTAGAGTGAGAGACATTTTACTAATTCTCACCACCTCTATGAGCTTAAGAACAAACTCGATGACCACCTTATGCCAATAGTCTTTAACTCATATGTTAGTAACATCAAGCCAAAGCAAAGCATTCATGACATAACTCATGATAACCCTCAAATTTAAGAATTAATTATCCAATTATCATGATGGACCCATTAAGTATAAAGAGTAATTATCTTATCCAGCATGGGATCCATATGGGCCAATTTAATGGATTCGTCTTAGAAACACATATATGCATCATTTATACAAGTTATTAAAGCAAAAAACCACATCCCTCAAGATAAGCACAAGGACCAATCTAATATGGATCACAAATGTTCTAATTTTATAGTCTTATAATTGAGAAAATTTTAAAATCTTAAAACTAGATCTCAATTTTTGTGATCTTTATCACAACCATAGCGTCCTTCCAAGAGCTGTAGAGATCTTTTCACTATATTAAAACCATTTTACAACAATTTATATTAAAAAATAGTTCATGACAAAAATCAAATATTTTTTTCTCTTGATTAAAATTTAAGGTTATTAGATTATCATATCATATCATACTACTTTCTGATCCGATTTAAGGTATATCATTAACTATTTTAAACACTACAATTAACGTAGACTTCATTTCACTTGTTCAACTAAAAATTTATTTTCTAATTAATCTTACTCTTGAACAAAAGATTTTTCTTGGATAAAATGTCTTCAATCACATATTATATACTCTATCTTATTTTGGAGTAATAAACATTTTGCTAGTTCTCACCACATCTATGAGTTTAAGAACAAAACCAATGGTCACCTTAATACTAATAATCTTTAACTCATATGTTAGTAACATCAAAACAATCAGAGAAATTAATCCTTGAACCGCACACAATCACAAAAAAGTAAAAAGAAAAAGAAAAAAATACAATACTTCCTGTGAGTGTACCTACATTCATGAGTAAGAGTAATTAAAAAAATTTATTATGATAATTTGAGAGTACATCACCAATAGACTATCAGACCATTACATAGAAAAACTATATTAGTTTTCTTTCTACATAACTCTTCAGAGTATACATAAAATAATTATCAGGATAAATATAAAATATCTCTCTAAGATAAATACAAACCCCAGGATAAATATGAAATATCTTCATGATTAAATATGATATTTCAATAACAAGCCACACCAATAAAATGCCTCCTTTGCTTGAATTTTTTCCATCATTAAAGAAGCTGGTCGTTTCATCACAACATCTTGCCAACATCCTTTCATAAAGGCACTATTGAGTATCACATACTCTAACCAAGTTTAGGTTGTACCTAAAACTTACTACCTGATCTTAAAATGAAGTGATATATGCCGTCAAGTTCTTCACACACAACATCAACCCTCTTATTTACATTTGAACTCATTGGTTCATGCAAATCAATTGTCCATACAACTGACAAGGCATATACAACCAAATTTTTATACCTATGTGGTGATTCAATTTCTCTTCTCTCTGCCTATTGCAATACAATATGGTTGTTATTGATCAAGTGTACTATCATATTTTTTATTAAGAACATGCACTTCATTCCTTTGATCATTAAATTGAACTTTTAGCTCTACTTGTTCTCTGACATCGTGATCTGATTTTATTATTGTTTTTTTCTTCTAACTATATAGTGAAGTAGACTCATTAAATGTCATATTTATGTTGATAATCAACTATGAAGACTTGGGATTACTACACCACATATTATAGTCTTTTACTCCAGATGTATACCCCAACTAAGAGTAATCAGCAAGTAAATCAAACCATACCTCAAAATGAGTTTTGTATTTAATAACTATGGATGAAGATCTATTAACTAAGTAACAAATAGTGTTCATAACCTCAGCCCAAAATTCATCTCTCAAACCTGAATGGGACGACATGTTTCGTGTTCTATTACAAAGCGTCTTATTTATGTGTTCTACATATCATTCTGTCGTGGTGTCCTAACATAAATGTGGTGTCTCATTATGCCTTCTGTACTGCAAAAATATTAAACACACTATTACAAAATTCTAACACATTATCAATCCTAAAATACAGGATTTCTTCTCTATCTCCTTTTAATTATGGTATTCTATCTAGAAAATATTGAAAATGTTTCATTTATAGAATTTAGAAAATACACACAAACCTTTTAAGAGTAATCACCAATTAAAGTCATAAAATATCTGAAACTATTCTTAGAGGAAATACTATATAGACCATGTCAGTTAGAATGAACATAATCTAACTTATCTTTGGTCTTATGTACTACCCTTTTATTAAACTTCACCCTAGTCTGCTTGTCAAACACATAGTGTACACAAAAATCCAGGACTTCTTCTTTATACATGTTCTGCAAACTCTGCCTACTTAAAACATATAAGCTTTTATCACTCATATGACTCAGGCGCAAATGCCACAATTGATTCTAATTACTCTCCTAAGTTGACACATTTCATTCTCTTATGAACTAGAAAAAATTCCTCCCTTGAACACCCCTTAAAGTAGCCCAAGACAACTAGTTGTTTTACCTTATAATGACATTTCACCTCTTAAGGTTATCTCACATATTAAGGCACTTCACCTCTTACTGATCACTCCAAGTGCTCGTGCAACCTAACTTATGTGACTAAGGGGGCCAGCTTAATTTAGATGTACTGACACAATTGCTAAACACTTCAATTTAATTCTAAAATCACTCATTAATTGAGAAATGGTAACCTATCCATTTGTGGTGAAGTCAACTAGCTCAACTTGGCCCAAGACTTCTTCTATATATGTAACCCTCAAGTACAGATATCATATCTTACCTATTGATGGTCGTGGTAAAATTATAGCTTTTGAATCTCGATTAACTAAATCTCTCGCTCCATGTATTACTTCAAGATATTTCGTATATGAGCATCTTTAAATAGGACTTGTTATTATTGATTCGGTGATCCCTATAGGGCATAGGTAGCGAGAATTAATTTTTCAGGACAAACAAACCGGTACAATTATCAATCAACAAAGGCAAAATGTGATAAGCCTTTACTACTTATTTAATTATTTCTCATTTATTAACTACTTGCAGAGCTTAAGTTTTCTCTCCTTTATAAACCTTATAAAAAAAAAAAAGTTTTCTAATTCCAATATCACCCTTAATAATCGAAAAAAAAAATCCTACATTCACTAAAGCTATTTTTATATGGTCCATTTTTTAGTTAATTTATCAGGTAATTCTCATATCAATCTAAAATATTGTCACCCCGTGAAATTCATTGATATTAGAAATTCAATTTATATTCTAATGTGAGGAATAAATTCTCACCTTTAAGGTACATGTAGTAAGGTAATTAATTTATGTATTAAAACAAATATGAGAAGTAGAATTATGAATTCTGTTAAAATAATTAATTGGGAAGAAAGCTAAGGTAAGAAGTCTGTGTCTTATTAATTTTCTAGATGCTAAATTCATGTAATAGGTAGAAAATTTTAGGAACTGAAGCAATTATCAAATCAGAATTCTTGAATTAGGAGTAAAATTTTTTATCATAAATTGTTTCTTTAACTTAATTCAGCTGTCTGCTATACTAGCATGGTGTCGCTCGTAATCTCTATATACATTATTATATTTTTGGATTTTACATTTAAATCCTTTCATGTTAATGAATTAAACGTTCGTAATTACATACATACAACAAGATTCATTTCAACCAAGCACAAATTAGTCTGAAAGATTGCCAAGAGGAAATGAGGAAATTGTCATGTCAGCAAAAATTGAAAGATAAGAGACCGATGCCGACCGCCATGTTGAATGTGCCGATGCATGAACATATGTTTATTTGAATTTAGAGCTTTTTTTTTGGGTCACTTTCCAACATTTTCTAGAATACCCACTTCCAACCTCACCAGTTCAAACCTATATAATTCACAGGTATGTTCCCCCTCGATGTGGACCCTCACGTGCATTGCACACCGTGTGGGTCCCATGTCATATCTTCTTTCTTTTATAATCAATAATATGGTATACTATTTAATTTTACAATAACTATTTTACCATAGTGTAATTAGACCCAGAATAAAAGAGAAATCTTTTTACTTTGTTATCTTAAGAAATCTTTTTTATCTTAATAATATGGTATACTAGAATCTGCGTTAATTACCCACAGTGAGAGAGTCCACCCACCATAGAGGGAAAACTAGGAACCCAGCAAGACATAAATATTTGCAATCTTTTATTATTTGCTGTTCATGGAAGTTTTATGGGCATACGCACAATCAAATAGACTTATAAGTATCTTCTCATGTATCACAAGGACAAACACTAGCAACATCCAAAAACCAGAATAGTCTACCCTTTTTATAACGATGCAACATAGTTTCACATCAGGCATCCCTTCATGCATGCAAGATCAGATCCTGCCTCTTATAATCGCCTCCGCCTTCCTCACTTGGCTCACAGGTCCTATGACGAACACCTGCAGCAACAAAAGAGATTAAAACAAATATAGACAATAATAGAATAAGTTGTCAATGGAATTTGGGCCGATCAAGTGTCTCACGTAGACATTTACAAAGTGAACATGGACCTTAGTGGATGGATAAGGCTATGCGTTGATATCATGTTACGCGACTCAATTGATGATTAGTTTTCTGAATATCCATCATAATTATTTATATCTTTAACAGCATTGTGAACTAACCTTGTCCTTTGGTCCTTTTCCATCGCCAATAAGAATTTCAGCACTGCAATTTACACAACAACTTAATAACAAAAGCAGACAAGTTACAAATAGAGAGGGAGAGGAAAACAGAGAAAGAGAAAAGAGCAAACTCACTCTATGGAAGATTTGATGTCCAAGATAGAAACACCTTTCCGACCAATAATCCGTCCCATTTTCCCATTAGGAACATTAACCACTGATAAAATCTCTTCTTCAGGAGGGTTCCCTTCGGCAATTACTTTTCCTGACATGGTTGATAAAAGTTAGCCATTCATGTATTAGTTTGCCAAAGACTATTTCTCCCTCATAATCAAGGAACTGTACAGAAGTAGACCTGCCAAATCTAATCGGACAGTATTTTCAAATTTTCATTAATGTTGGTATGAAAAGGATTATACCAGGTTTTCTATAATACATATGCTAACTTTACCCAAAAAATTAACCAATAGCAACATTTAAGTGCGTTAGTTTGCATTACACAATTTGTCTCCCAAGTAGATATCAGATCACAGATGGGTTTGTTAATGACACTCAATAGGCCATCATCTTAAAATCCATAAATAACGTCAAGAAGGGTTACTCTTAAGTTCTTACTTCTCTGCTAACCTAGCCATGATCATCCTGAACAAGCAGATGAAGGCCTCGATAGACAACCTCGTTATCCACTTTGCTTTTTACACGAAATTCCTATGAAAACATGTTGCTACCTCAGAATCTTATGAGTTTACTTGTACCCAGATACAAAATTAGAATTCACTCTAAAGGGATGATTTATGTGTTTATCATTATAGGTACAGCAGGGGTTGTGGTAAACTCCATGGTACAATAAATTTAATTGTCATTTTTTCATTTTAGTTACAATATAAATATTATATGTTCTTATTATCTACTGTTACATTTAATTCCAAAAAATAGAATACAAACTGTCTAAATTGTCTTCTAATTCTATTTTGAAATCTTATGTAATCAAACAGTTCAATTTTGAAAATTATATTTTAACTTAAAATTAAACTAAAGAAAATATTAAAGCTTTAATAGTAACTAAACAAGATGTCAGCCATGCAAAAGGATGTTGTCTTGTTAGTTTCACCACGATGCTCCTGTTACTCCTCTTTGTTTATAGGTTGTCGTTGGTACTTTGCTAGCTCTAAAACTTTCCATCATGTTGAAGTACTGTGTTATGGTCTCATCATGTGATCAAGTCGTGGGCTTACTGACCATTAAGTTTTGCAGGAAACAAGATGCTTGTTTGTTTGATTTATAACCTTGACTGCCTGGACTACTTTAAGATCAAGTCATGGGCTTACTGACCCGTACTTAGGAATCATTGGAGAGAACTCTTCAATCTCCAAAAGTTAGGTACTTAAGACCCATACTAAAACTAAATTATTAAGATCCGACATATCCTTATTAATACTAAACTCCTTGTCTAATTTTATTCCAAAATAATAAATTTCTCATTCCTAAATGACTTATATTTCTTATCTTGTTGTTGTATTTCCTAAAGGCTAATACAGAAGCCAAAACACAAGCAGATGACAAGACCAACTCCTACGACACAACTCTGTCAAACTTCCTACTAATAATTCCTTGATTCCCTCTTCTGGCAACTTCCTGTTTCTTTTCCAATATTTGGTACTTCACTCCATACGTCCAAATAGTGCATGTCTGCAATAATCAGAAACTCACAGCTCCTCTAGGTTCTTATCCTTTTCACCCAAGAGCAAAATAATTTTTTGCACCACTGTCATGCAACATAAGGTTCATAATAATTCTAACACAACCCTTTTAAATGCCTCTCCTCCTTCTCCATCCTGCGCACTTGTTTCACGAAAGATAGCCTTGACTATTTACATGGTTCTTCGGGGAGTAAAAGATTCTCCCCCTTCTCTATATACGTATCAGAAGCTCATGGCAACAGTGAAATCCGAAAGGTGTTGACTCTCATAAGTGGATAAGAAGAAGTTTTACTTCTTTTTCTGAAATGAGGGAAAAGGCACACCACACCACCTGCTCAAATTGCTTCAGTACTCTGCCACCTTATTGTGCTAGTACAATTTGATTAATTCTCCATGTTTATTGCCACTTACCATGAACTAAGTAGATTCAATGGGATTTTAAATCTTCTCAGAAGATGTCTTGCTTGTCATGCTTTTGTTTTAAGAACCATATCTAAGCTTCCCCTGCCGATTGGAAGAAAACAAGTCCAACCATGTCTTCACCTGTGGTGTATTGATGGCAAGAGAAAAGAAATGCTCATGCACTTTCATTTGGAATGTGTCAAGAATTGCTCTACGACCATTAAAAATCCATTTTAGCAAACTGAGGGACTAAGCCCTTCCCATTGAATGGTCCCTAGAACCCATAGCAGTTCTTATATAGTGAGAATGGGGTCAACATTAATGTAAAAAATAAAATATTATGTTTAGTTTAGGTAAAAAAAAGATTAATTTTTAGTTGTGGTAAACCCATTAGATGGGAATAATTAGATAGGATCCGAGAAAAATTTGACTCGAGGGTTAACCCCTAAGGTAACAGCTAGATAAGGAATAGGTTAAGACAACACATCACGCAATCAACCTAACAAGCCTTCTAACATATTTGTCTAGAACATCGATCCTAAAGGCCGCTCTCGTTAAGGTTGATGCTAACCTAGAAGTGCTCTCAAAAGCTTGCAATAAAATGAGCACATTATTACTTTTGCATAAACATTAGCTCAGCATGTTGCTCATTCCTCACAGGCTTGTTTGTAGAATCATCATAACGAGATTATCATCAATCTTTTAAGTAGATTTCAGAGCCTATTTTTCCTTTATCCAACTTGCCCTAATCACAAGTTTGATTGGTGCGAAACACTAATTTAATGATTGTACATAATACTTCTAAATTCTCTAACATTCTCTCTATTATTGTTTCGTCTTTGTACTCATTACAATAATGTTTTCACCTATACTTACTCATGGGATGAGGATTTCTTCACTTTCAGCCATAAGGATACCAAAACTGTGCTCTAATATCAAACTAACGTAAAATGTAGTGTATGTAATACTTGATCTCATTCAAGCCAGCGAAAAAAATAAGAAAGAAAAAAAAAAAGGAAACTAAAGAAAGAGACTAACCCTAATAGATAAAAGAATAGTCTCTAACTAACTTAATGTTAACTATAAATAAAATAAAAACAAAAATAAATAAGACACATTTAATATTTTTATTCTCCAAGTCTGAAACTCTTTACATGGTGCAATAATAAAATTTTAGGGAGGAAATAAAACAGGATCAATTCAAATCTTCAGAAAATACAAATGCACCCCAGGGATTTACAGAATAGCAGCAGTGAACTGACTCCTAATGAGTTTTAGATTACCTGGAATGGGAGGTAGTGGTTGCCAATCTGTGTAGTTGTTGTCATTAAGACAGAAACATCTGCAATAAAGGGTACCTCGAATCGCCAGACGCCATAAGTATCGATCATTTAGCTGCTCCATCATCTTCTGATAGATATATGGAAGAAAACGCACATCATCAGCTGCAGCATGAACCATTAGTTCATTCATGGGCCTAAACATCCAAAACCGTCGATCCTGAAAATAAATATGCCAATGCTCATCATTTAGACAAAGCCCGCAACGACAATCATAGTATGAGGTATATCTTAAAATTATATGTTTATCCCTTTTTTTGAGATAAAAGTGAGAAAATGTATTAAAATAGGCACCAAGGAGGTGACATCCATGTACAAAATGGCTTTACATATCAATAAACATATGTACAATTGCTCCAACATCGTCAAGAGTATGTAAATTATGACTCAAAAGGATGGACCCAAAACAGTGTAACCACTTATCTTTTTTTTTTTTTGAAATAAAAAGTGTAAAAAGTATATATTAACAAGATACCAAAAAACAGGGAGTACCACCTATAATAAAAACTTTACAAAATAGTTAGTGTGTCATGACATTTTCAAAATTTCATCACTAATAATGTAATTTCCTAACAAAATAAACTCAAAATAATGCATCTATCTATCTCTCGTTCTATACAATTCAACCTCTTTACCCTCAAAAGCTCTAAAATTTCTCTTTTCCAAAGAACCCAAACAATGGTCAATGGAATCAGTTTAGTCAATTTACTATCAAAATGCACATCGTCCCAAGCTCATAATTCCTCCCTAACAGACAGTGACATAACCCAATTTATACCTAAAAGGTTATAAATAAGACTCCAGAGAATGAAAGCCACAGAACACCACAGCAATACGGGGTTGCACGATTCTTCTGCTTTCATACACATATAGCACCGGTTGGGAATAAACAGCTCTCTTGCTTTTAATTTATCGATAGTCAATATACACTCCCTGCAAACTTCCCATGAAAAAAACACAACTCTTGGTGGCACTTTAGCTTTTCAAATCTGCCTCATAGGGAAAAGTGGAAGCCGAACATGATCTGTTCTAGTTAAATGACTGTAATAAGACTTAACCGAAAATCTACCACTTTTTTCCATATTCAAAACAATCAACACAGCCATTACTGATTATGTAAGCATCCTGGACAAGCATATTTTTTGCCTGTGCAATAGCAAATATTCTAAGAAATCTGTTCATCAAGCTATCATTTCAAATCCAAACGTCTCCATTTTCTTTTTAGCAATCTTTCTCTTTTCAATTTCTGAAAAAAAAAATAGATAGGCTTGAGATTTCATACATTCCATTGAGATCCCCATCAATCTGCTGAATTTCCAAATGTTTTGAGTGACCCACTGTGAGCAACCAACAGGGTACCCATTGATCAGACTAATACCTTCCCAACTCAGGGACTGAATTTCTTCCATATCCGGGTCAAATGAGGAAGCGAGCGCCTGTGTTTGAGCTTCTTCTTCAAACATAACCATCACTAACCTGTTATCATCAACACTGCCCTCCAACTCGGACTCTGCTTTTGAAGATAGCCCCTCATGTATTTCTTCGCATTCTTCTTCCCCCGACTTCAAGCTATTCATCTCTGCCTTCCATTCTTCCTCTTCCTCGTTACTCCACTTCGATTAATTATCTAGGGCTCCAACATCTTTCTCTTCTCTGTGTGTTTATTCAATATCGAGTAAAATGGCTCCAAAGCTTTTTAAACCAAATGATTCTCCTGGGGTCAAATTACACCGAACAGGCCTCTCTTTGCTGTTTAGTTTCGAACTACTCACATCTTGGCCTTCTTTCTTTGGGGCACTCCACAATTCTTCTCAACCCAAGTAAAACGTGTTTTTTTTTGTTACCCTAGATCTGTTGCTCTGTCCTCGGCCCACCAAGTTTTTGGCCCCCTTTTTTCTTGGAACAAAATGACGGAAATTTTTAGCGTTTAGGGTTAAATGTCTGTTGGGTCTCTTAGATTCGGGTTTAGAGCGAACCCGATACGCCTGCCCCGTCAAACGATTCTGCCCAACCCGATTCTCCTTTCCTTCATTTGTTTGCAGAGTCGCCACATACGACTACCCTTCTCCAACTTCCACCATGAAGTGTATGGGCATCGAACAATGGGGACAGTTGAAATTGGCTTTCCACGAAGTCGCCTGACTCGCTGATCTCTCAAGGGCCATTAGCTTTTTCCCTAGCTCCTTCACCTAGGTATTAGGTTCGCGAATAGATCTATTTGCAAGTTCAAATGCTGAGACCATCAGTTTCCACCAACCTTTACCCCAATCTCCGCCTGAAAAGAAAATCCTTTACGTGTACCTGTCTCATTGTATAGTCCTAGATAATGAAAAAATGAAAAAATAGATAGGTTTGAGATTCCATACCTTCTATTGAGATCCCCATCAATCTGCTGAATTTCTAAATGTTTTGAGTGACCCATTGTGAGCAACCAACAAGGTTCCCATTGATCAGATTAATACCTTCCAGACTCAGGGACAGAATTTTATTCTAAGCTTTCGTTCACGCACAACCGTATGGTTTGTGCATTGCATATTTAGTTTTGCCTGACCCATCTGCTCCGATTCGTGTAGGGCCATTCGCGTTGTTCATCCGCGCAAGGTCCCTATTTCACAGGGTTTCTGTTGTTTCATTCCCGCAAGGGCCATTCGTCAGGTCTCTGCTCACGATCTGGTCTCTTTTTTTTTCACACGGCCACGTGCGCACTTCGTCCTTCTTTGGTTTTCACATTCCCAACGTGAAAACTTCTTAGTAATGCCTTGACTCGTTAATTTCGTGCAACCTCATATTGCTTAAATATATCTGTTGCTCAATACTGCAATAAAATTATAGAATCCAGTGTCTCTTACATACTCACAAGTGGGTAATGATGCTCAAATTTATGAACTCTGTAATAAAGTTCATAGCACAAACTAAAGAGAAATGATTATTTCTCACTATTTTTCGAAATCCAGTCGACTATGGCTTGAGCTCGACTACTATCAAGATTTTCAGGCAAATTGCCCTGAAGATGCAGTTAAGTTTCAAAAAATGATAAAAAATGAGCAGTTTTATGATTTTTTGGCTAGCCTGAATGCTGAATATGATTATATACGGGTTCAGTTACTTGGTAAGAATCCCCTTCCCTCATTAGAATAAACTTTTTTTTTATGTTCAATAAGAAAAAAACAGAAAAAAATGTCATAGTCCACATAGCACCAGTTGAGAAACCTAGATTAGTTGATCAGTTCAAAAACCAACAGAATTGTGACTATTGTGATAAGTCAAGACACTATAAAAATTTGTTGGAAATTGCATGAACGACCCACTAGAAGTCATGGGAAAAGAAAATATAAACCTATGAGAGCTCAAACAAACTTGATTTAAGAAAGTGAAGCACTTGAAACACCAATAGTTCGAGTTTTTTCAACCGAAAAGATTTAAAATCTGAAACGAATTCTATCTCAACTTAACTATTCAACAACTATTGATGCATCAAATATAGTAAAATCAGGTAGTCCTTCTCTCCCTCTTGTCTATCATCTACAACAACAACTTCTCCTCTCCCCCCCATTTTTCCTACTCTCATTCCTTCTCCCTTCAAAATTTACAGATAACTCTAATCTTTTCAGTTCTTTAGGAGTTCCATCAGTAATTTTTTTTCTTCCCCTTAGATACAACTATCCCCATTTTCTTTTTAGCAATCTTTCTCTTTTCAATTTCGGGAAAAAAAAAATAGATAGGCTTGAGATTTCATACATTCCATTGAGATCCCCATCAATTTGCTGAATTTCCAAATGTTTTGAGCGACCTGGTGAGCAACCAACAGGGTACGCATTGATCAGATTAATACCTTCCCGACTCGGGGACTGAATTTCTTCCATATCCGGGTCAACCGAGGAGGCGAGCACCTGTGTTTGAGCTTCTTCTTCAAACATAACCATCACTAACCAGTTATCATCAACACTACCCTCCAACTCCGACTCCGCTTTTGAAGATAGCCCCCCATGTATTTCTTCACATTCTTCTTCCCTTGACTTCAAGATTTTCATCTCTGTCTTCCATTCTTCCTCTTCCTCATCACTCCACTTCGATTCATTATCTAGGGCTCCGACATCTTTCTCTTCTCTCTGTGTTTCTTCAATATCGGGTAAAATGACTCCAAAGCTTTTTAAACCAAATGATTCTCCTAGGGTCAAGTTACACCAAACATGCCTCTCTTTGCTGCTTAGTTTCGAACTACTCACATCTTGGCCTTCTTTCTTCGGGGTTGGACTCCGCAATCCACTTCTCTTTTTCAGCCCAAGTAAAACGTGTTTTTTTGTTACCCTAGATCTGTTGCTCTATTCTCGACCCACCAAGTTTTTGGCCCCCTTTTTTCTAGGAACAAAACGACACAAAGTTTTAGCGTTTAGGGCTAAATGTCTGTTGGGTCTCTTAAATTCGGGTTTAGAGCAAACCCGGTACACCTGCCCCGTCAAACGATTCTGCCCTACCCGATTCTCCTTTCCTTCATTCGTTTGTAGAGCCGCCGCATACGACTACTCTTCTCCAACTTCCACCATGAAGTGTATGGGCATCGAACAATGGGGACAGTTGAAATTGACTTTCCACGAAGTCGCCTTACTCGTTGATCTCTTAGGGGCTATTAGCTTTTTCCCTAGCTCCTTCACCCGGGTATTAGGTTAGCGAATAGATCTATTTACAAGTTCAAACGCCGAGACCATCAGCTTCCACCAACCTTTACCCCAATCTCCACCTGAAAAGAAAATCCTTTACGCGTACCTGTCCCATTGTATAGTCCTAGATAATGAAAAAAAAAAAAAAAAATAGATAGGTTTGAGATTTCATACCTTCTATTGAGATTCCCATCAATCTGCTGAATTTCTAAATGTTTTGAGTGACCCACTGTAAGCAACTAACAAGGTTCCCATTGATCAGATTAATACCTTCCGAACTCAGGGACAGAATTTCATTCCAAGCTTTTGTTTGCGCACGGTCGTCTAGTTTGTGCATTACAGATTCGGTTTCACCTTACCCATCTGCTCTGATTCGCGTAGGGCCATTCGCGTTGTTCTATCCGTGCAAGGTCCCTATTTCACAGGTTTCGACTATTTCTGTTGTTTCGTTCATGCAAGGGCTATTCGTCGGGTCTCTG